GGTTCTCTTGCCTACAGAGACTTCTGCAGATCTTGCTTTTTAAATCATGTATAATTTAGTTGAGATTCCTGCATTGCAGGGGATTGGACTAGATGACCCTTGGGATCCATTCAAGCTCTACAACTCTCCTGTCAATTTTTTAAAACCTTATAGTTCAGCAATTACAAAGAAACTAGCAAGTTGGGGACAAAAAACACATTCCAGCTTTAAGCACAGAATCCAAATGAAAAGTGAGCCACATAATGTCGCAATCTTAAGCACCAACCAAAATAAAAACATATTTTTGTATACGTCCAGGCTTAACTGGCATCTGTTTGGCTTCTGCAAAGGAAAGGGAAGCAAATATTGCTCACTCATTTTTCTTGCTGATAAGGAAGAAAGCAAGTTAACTTGTGGGAAAGGAGTTGAAAATGGAAATGAGTAACTTCTAAGTAGTAATGACGCAGTTTGTGAAAATTTCCTAATTTCCTCTGCAACAAGGTGGTGGCATTAAAGGGCATTTGGATGATAGCCAAAAATCAAATAATTATTTGGCAGGAATCATACAGACATCTGAAAAGCTACTAGTTAGTATATAGCACAAGTGTGTGTTTGTATTGGCTAAGACTGATGAGTTTGTTCCCTCCCCCCAAAACAAAACAAAAAAGTGTATATGCACAAGAGCCTTGCTGAATCAGATTAAATGTTTGGTTTAATTAAGTATCCTGTTTCCAACAGTGGCCAGCCCATGTAGGGCATCTTAACCTCCCAGAATCTGAACATCAAAGATGTACTGCCTCTGAACATGGAGTTTTCCCTTAGGTATTAGGAGGAACTTGGGAGGGTGCATCCATCCTTCTAGCTCAGTTCCAATCATGCAATCCAGCCAATTGGGACTCTCTTAATTCCCATTTATTTCAGTGGGAATGTGAAGCACATTAAATATCGCCCATGGAAACCAGTGAAACCACAAATTGCTTTGTATTGCTTGGCTCCTGCCCTTATTTTACTGTGTCAATTAAAATATGCTTCTTTCCTGTCACACTACTATATGCCTACAGGAGGGGTGTTATTTGGAATTTCCCTTGCCATAATGGCATCATTCTGGCTGCCAGCGCAGCAGTAGTAGCATCATTAAATGTTGTGGCCAACGCACACTTTGAGCAGATGATGACATGATGAAATCTCGTTTTCCGTAGGTGGCACAAAATGATGCATTCCAGGCATTGAGGAGGCCTTGATCCGCTGGTTGCTGTGTACTGGTTAGAACTAGTTGCGTCTTTTATAAAAGGTGAGTATTGGTCATCCTCGTTTCCTCCTCCACTTCAGTCTTTATCTAGTGATTCCTCCAGCCTTGCATGGTCTTGCACAGTTTGATGTTGTAATGTATAGATTAGATGGTCTGTGTAAAGTACTCTCCATTTTAGTAGTGGGGGCAGGGAGGCAAGCATCTGGTAGCATCACACTGACAACTAGTATGAGTAAAACTTTATTAGAATATAGCTGCCAGAACTTAGTATCCTGTCAATTGTGTAGAAGTTGCAACCAGTGCTGCCTCTATCAGCAAGCAGAAGACAGAGACCTGAAGGGTATCAAATTTCCAGATATATAATGTATATTTTACCACAGCATAACATAAAATGGTACTCATACCACAGGATAGGGTATCATTTAAAATCCACGTTTTAGCTTTTGTATTTGGGGTACCAAATTGGCTTGTACAACAGTCACAGACAAAGGTGCCTTATCAGGTGATGACAATTTACTAAAAAACTGAATCATGATCTTCAAAAGCTTTGTCTATTTTATCCTGTTCAGTTGGCCCAAAGAGAAAAATTGTGATCTGTGACAGTTCTAAGTAATAAGAGATTATGACTTCTTCACCCAGCATAATTGAGTACCTGAGGAAAAATATCTGGAGCAATAGGACAACCTGTTTTTCTTCCACAGGCTGATGTGTGTCGGTTTTCAAAATTTCAGCCAGATAATGTTAGCCTGGAGTGAAACCTTAGAAAGGATGTTGCCAAAGAAGCATAGGTAGTAAGAGACAAGTACACATTGGCCTGAATTGTATAACGCTAAGCCATGGTTTGTTAAACTATGGTGCATTAAACATTAGCTATGACTCGGCGTTGCGTGGGAAGCCAGCACCTTGCTTTAACGATGGGTTGTTTGGCTACCCTATACTAGCTGTGCATCGATCTTTAAAGGCACAAGGCAAAAGCAGCTAAAAATAAGCCAACCTTTGAAGAAACAAGCCATGGTTTGTTCATTCATCTGCAGGGCAACTCAGTTAAACAAACCATTGCTTCACAGATGGGTCATCAGCATTGCATTCGCAGGCACCAGTATTTCCAGCAGTTCCTCTTTAAATGTGGCCCCATTTTCACTGGATGACAGGACTGGACACCTACCACCCCTTATGTTCTGGACAGAAGAGATTCAAATAAGCTTTTCACTGTGGTGGCTGATATAGGTGTCTGTTTCCCATTGACAGATGGGACATACCTGTACCATTTTCTGGTCCTGTCTTTTTACATTCTTTTAGACGTAATGGCCAATTTTTAGTAAGTCATGCTCCCACAACAGGCGTTTTGTGATGTCATGCCCCCACAGCAGCTGCCCTGTTACTGATATCCATGACATGTTCTCAAAATTCCAAGAGAGCCTTGCATGCAAACGAGGCCAATGAGTTCGATTTCGTAATCCTTTTCTTAGTCACAGCGCTCCTAAATTACTCCGGTATCTTACGTACCAAATGTCACTTATATGTGTTGCAACTGAAAGTAAAAGCATCCTTTTGCATCAATCCCCATGAATAACTTTGAAGTTAAGAGTTGTTCCCATGTGTGGTTGCGTAGGAGCCACACATAGTTCAAGGTGGTGGTACTTCTTGCAGGATTTTGCACCCACGCTACTCACCTTGCCCTTCCCATTTAAACCACATTAATCTTAGTGCTGGGAAAAGGCCATTTGATGGCGCATCCATTACTGTAGTCCACAAGCAGTGGAATATGGCTGCAATTTTTTTTGCATTCCTATTCAACGATGCCCATGTCATTAGTGGCAACAGGAACAACATTTGAATGTTGCACGTCTCTCCCCACCACTCCCAGTGTTAATGACAGAGAACTCCTTGCAGTAGTAGCCTTTTTGTAGCTGTTTGAAAGCTAAATCACCAGCTGATGTTCCCATCATACAATAACCACCACCCCTCCACCACGAGTTGCTGCTGAGCGCTTTAAAGATAAGCTGTGCACAGAACCTCTCTTGATGTTGCATCCTGAGTTATCAAATACAGATGATTGTAGGGATAGCATGCAAAGCCAAAATTGTGTATACTTAAAAACACATTTGGGTCAGTGGTGGATGGGATTGCCAAAAGTTTCCGGGTCGCCCACCCCCTTGAGACTCACCTCTTTTGTTGGGGGGTGACTGGCTGGGAGGATGTGACTATAAAGCTGCTCCCTGTTTTTCCTACTCCTATGGTTTTTACAGAGTCTAGCCAACTAGCCAACCTTCATACACCTGTCAATCCAGACTGACCCTATACATATCTATTAACCAGCCACACGTTTTATCTTCTAAAAAGCTCTGGGTGGCATACATGGTCTCTTTCAACCTTTCCCTACTGTTTATCCTCTCGGGCTGAGAGTATGACTGGCCCAATATCACCAAATGGGCTTTGGGGCTAGGCTAAGCAGGGATTTGACCCCTTGAAACTGAAACTTGTGATTTTTCTCCTACCAGGTGGCCAGGATGAAAATACAATCGAAATGCTCGAAAGACAATGCTAAGCCCAGCACTGGTCTGCAGAGGCAAAGGTTCAGCCCATGCCTTTTCTACCTGAATAATCTCCTCTTGGCAATTGGCTATGTAGCTCTGCTGCTTTATGCCCTCATCTGGAAAGCTGGGAATATTGTGGACTCTTCCACCAAAAAAATTGGCTTCTACAACTTCTGCTGGTGGGACCAGGAAGCGGAAAAACTTGAATGCTTCAAGAACTTGGAGAAGGTGGGCATCAACAGTGTTGCACTTGTGTTGTCAAGGATCTGTGTGTATTCTACGCCAGTCTTGTGTCTCTTTGTTGCCACTACAGTTTTGCAAGCCCTGTGCTTGAAAGACAGAGATGGATTCAAACTGGCCCGCACCCTTTTGGCCATTGGCAGCTTGATGTTGCCCGTTGGTCTCGCTTTGTTCATCTTCCACACTGAGCCATGGATAAGGGTCTCTGAATTTGGCGAAGTTTTTGTAGCCCTGGCTGGGGCTCACATTTTGATGCTACTCCACTTGATCTTTATTGTCCTGTTCCTTGCACATTGCAAGGATGCTCTACCCAAAGGACAAATCTTTCCTGTGTAAATATGTGAAGTTCCTGCCTGGGATACCAAATGCTGTAGTGGATTTAAAAGATAAGTGGATCCAGTGACCCCGGTGCCTTTCCAAACCCTCACATGAATGAAGAGCGTGTTGGGGGGAAGAGTTGGCACTCCTAGCACACAGATATTTCTCTCTCTATCTTAAGTGCCGGGGGAGGGAGGGAGAGATTGCAATGATTGCTGCCCTCTTCAATCAAGCACTCATTTAGGTGTGATCAGTACATGGCTCTTTAAAAGTCAGCAGTAGCTAACTGCTGCTTGGCAGTATTGGAATTTTGCTGGGCATCCAAACTGTTTTGAACAAATTATCGCTAGAAGATAAGCTAGTAATACAGGTATCTCACAAGTTATGGTTTGACTTACAAGCCTAGTCATCATTTGTGGTCATCAATTGCCCCATCCTCTGGCACATGCAGAGGGGCAGTTTTCTCATCTGTGTTGAGGTTTAGAGAAAGTAAAGTACAGCATGAGTCACTCACTGCTTTGAAGAGAATTATCCTGCTGCTGCTTTTCTCCAAACTTGTAATGCAAGCAAAAACTTGAGGATGGAGTGATCCTCATGCTGTTCTACCACTACCATGCTTATGTTGCACGAATTTTGGGTTTTGTTCTTTCAAAAAAAGTGATATACAGTGTTCTTTTACAACTTTTGTATTGATCAAAGGCGTTTAAAGTTGGACGTGGTTGTGTATTTTCTAGCTTTCAACCAAAGACAGGTTCAATGAACAGGAGTCAGGATTACTTCACTTCCCTGTGTATAGATGGCTGCTAATATTCCATTTATTCATGCCATCAAACAAACGCAACGGTGCAGGGGGCTGCTGCTGCTTTTATGCTTGGGGCGGGGACCCTGCAGCCCTCCTGGTGCTGTCGGGACTGCCAGCGCACAGCATGGTTAATAGGAGGGACTACAGGAATCTTACTCCGGGGTCACAGCCCCCCATCTCTGCCATGTGCAAGATTCCTGGTTTCCTTTGTATTTAGTTGTTTTCAAAACAATTCATTTAAGTATGGTTGAACACACATTGCAGACACCTAGCTGCTGCTGCTATCATGAGAATACTGATAGTGACTGATAAAAGTGGGAGCGTTCTCTAATTGTATAGGCTGATGCGTAGCCAGATTGCTATGTGATGCTGGGAGGTTTTTCTTTTCCTTCAGTTCCAAGTGTAAACAAAGCATTTGGGGAAGCTTAACATTATACAATTGTAGCCAAAGAATATTTTTTCAAGTGTCTTGTGGCCAAACCCAAGTCTTTGTTACTTATACAAGAAATACTGAAATTAAAGGTTTGTTAAACACTACTCTGTTGTGACTGATTAAAAACAGAACAAATATCCATTGGAAGCATTTTATCTTATCTACCAGTTCTGTGCCCATTTGAAAAAAACACCTTTTTTAAGTGCTTCACCAACATTAAGCTTAGCAATCCTTTACATAACAGGGATGGACAACAGATTGTCTGACCTTCATGTGTCCAAATTGCCAGTGTCTCAAATAAGGCATTATCTGCTCATGGTTTAAAGTTAAGTAAAGAAGATCTCCCGGACATATTTTAAGGCATCCTCCTCCTCCTCAGATTTGGTCTTCTCAATGCAGCCTAAAGCCTCCAACTCCTTTGGGGGTTTGGATCCAACACTGGGGGTTCTTCTGCCTTGCTGGCTGCCACTAACTGAACTGCAGAGAGGATTTTCCAGCACTTGCTGAGGCCCTTGGGACTCATCTTCTGACGAAGTCATCTCGGCTTCCTTGGCCTTGCAATTCTAGCAAATAAAAAATAATGTTAAGTACACATTTCTGCATGTTAAGTAGCAATCTCTTGAGAGAGAACCTCCATCCAGCACGTGGGCCATCAGACCATTTCCCCTAAACCACATCTGATGTCCAGTGTGGGGGAGTTGGAGTCGCAGCTAGATCAGCTGCTTTTGCAGCTGAAACCAGGACTGACCTCCCTGCACAACAGTTGATTCATGGGGGCAGTCAATCTTAGTTCAGGTGTGCAAAAGTGTTACCTGCAGGGAACTATTGCATACCTAAACTCTACAGAAAGCAAAATTGACCTTCCCTGAGCATCAACTGATGCATGGGGAGTGTCAATCTGTGTTGGTCAATATCTCACCCCACTGATGTGGGCAATATGTTGTCATTACAAATATTTTTAAAAATAATGGTGACAGGTGGATGGCCACACTCTCCTGTCAAAGTTGGCCTGCAAAAGGGCAGGGAGCTAAAAATGGAGGTCAAAAAAGTTTATTCACTCCCATCTTCAGGGTACATAGTTGCCAAGAATGTAATATTATGTGAAGCCCAGGGAAGTAGGAATACATGCTCATTGTGAATGATGAGAGTCCATTTAAAATCCTAGTCCCTCTCTTCAAAATTGCAAGTGATTCTCCATGGCCAAAGAAACACGCTGGAATCACTGCTGTGTTTCTCAGAGAAGGGGACACAGCAAATATAAACTACGCTTCAGTCACAATGTAATTCTCTGTCCTCAGCCAGTTCTACTGAGAGAGGGATTAACAAAAGAGGGTCAACCAAAAATCATCAGATGGAGTGAAGGTGCAAATACCCACAACTGGGATAACATGCCCCTAAGTGCTCACCTCGGCCATAATGCAAAGAGCTGCATCTACTAGCTCAGCTTCATTCATACAATAAATAGTCTCAAATCTGCAACAACAGCAAAAAAAAGTTTCATGAAATCTAAAATCAACCAGACAGAAGATAGTTTGGAAAGTACATGCTCATACACACCAAAACTTTATTTTCTGCAACCAGACAGTGTTTGCCATTTAGAGATAATAAGGCTGAAAGCAACCATGGATGCACAGTAGCGCTATTGCTTTGTAACAGATTTTAGAAAGGAAATGAGTGTGCGTTGGGTGGTGAGGGGAGGTTACAAACTTAACGAACGAAAACCTAGAATGGAGCAGGTGAGATGGGACTGGGCCAGACTGCTTCTGCACCAAAACATTTATGAGCAACTGGAACACAAGCAGCACAGCCGACGCCCACAAATTCACACAAGACTGCAGGCAAGCTTCCAGCTGAATCAGCATGATCAGTGCTGTTGGCATAGCAACATCGGCACCAAAATCTGCAATAGGTTCTGTTCTGTGGTGCACTCCCCTCCCTGCCACCTCTATTTAATGCTACCATCACTGGGCACACAACAACTTGAACGTGTTCAAAGTGTATAAGGCAATGCTTTCTAAACCCATTAATGATGGAGGGAACAAAAACAAGACTGCCAACGTGCCAGTTATTCTGCCTTTCTTGGGAGCCACCAACATAAAAGATAGCCCATGTTTTATAGAGGAAACTGCCTTAAACTACGTCAGACCATCTAGCATAGTATCGTCTACATTGGCTAGCAGCAAAATCTCCATGGTTTCGGGGTTCTCCCTACCCTAACGCAACATGACAGGGAGTGAACCTGGGACCTTCTGCCACACCACGGAGCTACAGCCCTTACCATCTACATGCAGACAAAGTCAAACATATAGATGGGAGACTGGGATAGCTCAGTTGGTAGAGCACAAGGCTCTTAGTCTCAGGGTCATGGGTTTGAGCCCTACAGAAACTTCTAAGTAGAGGCCAAAGTGAAACCCAACCTTCCTTCCCTGGGTTAAAAGAAACAACACAAAGGCAACTTACTTTGCCAAAGCTGCCTTCTTCCTTCTCTTTGGCTTCATCCCTGCTTGTTGTGCTGGCTCAGTCACCCTCTTTGTCATCCACACTGGGAGGATCCTCTTGGCTGCTTCAGGAGACCCCATTTCCTTCTGTTCCGGAAGACAGGGAACAGCTTTCACAACATGGGAACTGAGAATCCCTTTGCAGCAGAGTTAATATTTATTAGGGAATATAGTGGTACCTCGGGTTACATACGCTTCAGGTTACAGACTCCGCTAACCCAGAAATAGTGCTTCAGGTTAAGAACTTTGCTTCAGGATAAGTACAGAAATTGGGCTCTGGCGGTGCGGCGGCAGCAGGAGGCCCCATTAGCTAAAGTGGTGCTTCAGGTTAAGAACAGTTTCAGGTTAAGAACGGACCTCCGGAACGAATTAAGTACTTAACCCGAGGTACCACTGTGGTGACTGGTCAATCTACAAGAAAGGGGAGTGAGCTTATATATGGGCTTTCTGATTCTCACGGAATAAGTTATATAATGGCTCATTTCAGTAGTCTACTCATACTAATTTCACGACATCAACAGGAAGAGAGACAGGCAAACCTAGGAGACACGGAAGAGCCTGGATTATGAAAGTCCAGCAGCTGTTGCTCTGGACAGGGCACAAAGAGGAGCACTAGTTTTATGTAAAAAGAGAGAGAAGCAAAACACAGCTATTCATGGTTTGCTAAAATTTATAACCCTGTAGCAAGCTCTCAACACTGCTTACAATACACTCACTGTTATATTTTTTGTTAACATCCCTGATCAAACCAACTGTACAATACAGTGCAGGCAACTATTAAAAACAACCCAATCAATAGCAACAGCCATTTCCAGCCTGAGAATGTCCAGCTAGGGAAACGTGCCTGCAAAGCAGGACTGACAACATACAGTGGTGCCCCGCAAGACGAATGCCTCGCAAGACGGAAAACTCGCTAGACGAAAGAGTTTTCCGTTTTGGAGGTGCTTCGCAAAACGAAGCTCCTATGGGCTTGCTTCGCAAGACGAAAATGTCTTGCGAGTTCCTGCGGGTTTTGTTCCCGTGCCCCCCCCCCTTTTTCTAAGCCGTTAAGCCGCTTATCTGCTTATCCGATAAGCTGATAAGCCGTTAAAAGCCGCTAAAAGCCGCTAATCCGTCAATGGGCTTGCTTCGCAAGACGAAAAAACCGCTAGACGAAGAGACTCACAGAACGGATTCTTTTCGTCTTGCGAGGCACCACTGTACATGTCTATGCAGAAGTCCATCCCATAGGGTTGAATAGTGCTTACTCCCAAGAAAGTGGGTAAAGGATTGTTGCAGTGGGAGGCAGGATAATGAGAAAGTAAAGCACTGAACATGTTTAGCAAGCATCAGGCCTGTCAAATCCCGTCAGGGGCTGTGCCACTAGTCCATTTGCTCAAGGAGCACATGGAAAGTTTGCCTGGAGTTGCATTCAATCAGGTCCCGCAAGTTCTCTGGGAAAGGGGAAGAGCTGATCTATAACCTCCTCTGAATTTCCTGCATAGATTGTTGTCCTGGCAAGACATACCTCTGGACCAGGGGGTGAGGAAACTCAAGCCTGGGGGCTGAAGCTGGCCCTCCAGGCCTGTCTGGCGCTTGGATCTCTTCCCAGGCAACACCTGTTTCTCCCAAGTCAAATCCATCACTTCACACACACCTTTTGGGGCTGGGGGTGGCCGGAAGGTGTCCTTGAACTCCGATAATGTCTCTTGCTTGTATGAATTACGGACAAAGAAGTGTGTGAATAAGTGTAGAAACTAGCCTATGGTAAATGTGGCATCCCTTGCTCTGCCCACTTTTGCCCCCACCCTGCCCACAGCTGGCCTGCGGCCCCTGGAAAGCTGTCCAAAAGGGAATGTGGCCCTTGGGCTGAAAGGGGTTCTCCATCCCTGGTCTGGACTCTTGCCACCCGAGTGCCAATTCCCATGAAAGGTAATCTAGCAGCAGATAAATTTTAGTTATAAGTATGAAGTACATGCAGTGGCACCATGTTGCAGGCCTGAAGAGAGAGCGGTGGAGACGCTGCTACCTATACAGGCCTGCTGTTTCTAATTGTGCTTCAGGGCAGGTCCCACAGGATAGAAACACAGAAGCAAAAGAATTAAGCAATGGTGCCCCCTCCCCAATGTAAAACACCCAATGCAGACATGATTTCAGGGCAAATAAACTGTCTTTTCATTCACCCCTTATTTGCTCAGATGTCCATGCGCTCAGTTACTATCAGTGTATAAACAGAGAGAGATCAGTCTACATTCACAGTTCGTATATTCAGTCCTCAGAGACGGTTCTCAGGTTGCTTAGGTTGGAGGAAAACGGGATGGCGAATACTGTGCTACCACGCTGCGGCCTCTACAACGCAGAGCTTTCCAGAGGTATTTGGCCGGCAACTTTTTACTAAGGATGTTGACTTGCATGTTTAACAATGCTTACTCCCAGCTAAGCAACGCTGCACCCTCAACCTGCTTCACCACAATTCCCAGGGGCGCGCGTAAGCCGCTCTTTTTAACTTTTGCAAACAACAAAACACTCCTCTAGGAAGAAGCCTCAACATTAAAGCCGGGCCCCGGCGGTTGCTCACCTCCTCCGTAGATCACGCTTCTTCCTCTTGCTCGCTCATCCTTGCACCCGACGCCAAGAACTGCAGCCGGGAAGGACTCCCGCCTTCAAGAGCGAGACAAACGGCTTCCCCCACCGCGCGCGCGCAAACCTCCCAGGAACGGAGGCCGGAGAGGCGAAAGCCGTCCGAGAACAAGCGTCTCTTCCGCTGCATGTGACCCGCCGGCTCCACCTCCCTCTCCTTCCATTGGCTGACAACTCCCTGCCTGCAGCCGCCCTCCCGGGCTCCGCCTCCAGCCCGAAGCTGCGTTCCGAAAGACAGCAAAAGCGGGTGGCGCATCCGCTGAAGTCTCTGCAGTGCCAACAACAAACCACTCCTGTTTATCTTATGGCAGCTGCATCTACTTAAGTGAAATACTTTAACCGCTAGAGTAAACTGCTCTTTGAGAGGAAAAGGGGTAAAGGTAAAGGGACCCCTGACCATTAGGTCCAGTCGTGGCCGACTCTGGGGTTGTGGTGCTCATCTCACTTTATTGGCCAAGGGAGCCAGCGTACAGCTTCCGGGTCATGTGGCCAGCATGACTAAGCCGCTTCTGGCAAACCAGAGCAGCACAAGGAAACGCCATTTACCTTCCCGCCGGAACGGTACCTATTTATCTACTTGCACTGTGACGTGCTTTCGAACTGCTAGGTTGGCAGGAGCAGGGACTGAGCAACGGGAGCTCACCCCGTTGCAGGGATTAAAACCGCCGACCTTCTGATCAGCAAGCTCTAGGCTCTGTGGTTTACCCAACAGCGCCACCCGCCTCCCTAGGAGAAGGGGTACAGTTCTTCAAATTTATTAATTCTGTATTCCACCCCTTCACCCTAAGATCTTCACCCAAAGGCTTCCTCGGTGTAAAATGCTTTACAGAAACTTAAGAGTTCCCCTCCGCATCACCCTGTGATGAAGACCTGTGTTACTCTTCCCATGCACTGCAAAAGGGTTAGGCTAAATGATTCTCGTGGTCCCTGAAGTTTCTTTTAAAGCCGCAGAAGCAACACACACAGGAAAAATGCAATGAAAACATTTGCTTTTAATAAGAAACACAGGAGCAGACACAGAATACTGTTAAGGTTTCACACAGGCCCTGTTTTCCATTGGGATCTTTACCAGTCTGTATCGCATACCTTAGCACAATCCTGGAGGTTTATGGCCATGTGCTGTTGAGGACCCAGGAGGGGGAAACGGGGCTGGTCGTCACTGGAAAGAGCTTGTAGATCAGTGCATGCCTGCTAAGAGCATCGTTTAATTTAGGGGGAACGGCTGTAACTGAAACTCCTATCTGGCAGTGGTTTGGCATCAGCTTTAAAAAGGTTTCCAACCTTAGAGGAGAAAGCAACATTAAGACGAGTGGTTTAAAGAGCCTCTCCTGCCCAAAATAGTCTGAATCTAGATGGCTAATACTGATTTCTCCCCCCCAAAAGTCAACAGTTTGTGCTTTCCTATCAGCACAGTTTCCTCTATGACTTCTGTGCAAGTAAAGTGGTTAGTTTGATCTTTCCATCCATGGAGGCAGTGAGGCAGGTCCCACAATCCATCGCTGTGCACCAGTCCACAGTGACCACCGGGGCCCTGTGTCCTCCCAGAGAGAGGCAGCTCTCCAGGACCTTGTCGTTACTGTTCAGCTGAAAGAGAAGAAAGGCAGGCAAACATCAACACTTAGCAAACTTCTGTGATAGCAATCCCTGGCCCCAGTTTGAAATCTAAGAAGTCTAGCTGCACAAACCACACTCATTTTTACCAGAATAGTGCTCTGTAGTTCTACAAAGGAGGTAGCAAGATTTAGCATAGCCAAATCACTTGAGCTGGACAACTTGAGGGCTGCAATGGATGCCACTAGCATTTTCCCATCATCTTTCACAGGTGAAATCTTTTTCACCTACCTGATAAGCAGCTTATGATCCAGGTCATGATCATCTATACTATACACATATTAGGATCTGTGCCCAAATAAAGGACTTTTGCCTAAGCTACCAAGCAGGGCCAGGACAGAAGTGGGATTTGAGGTTCCTGAGGTCTCTGTCCAAGTCAAATATTGGGCTGTGCTGGTTCTCAAAAGGCGGTGACTAGAGGGCATAATGGCTAATATGGGAAGGGGCTCTGAAGGGCAGTATAGAAATCTTGAACTAGCATTGTCAAAGCTTGCAGGGGACATGCAGTAGGTAGAACAGGGAAGCCCATAACAACGCAGCTATATTTAAGGCGAGGAAACCAAGAAGTCAGACACTGGCAAGGCAACCCAAATACCCTTTGCTGGGGCTGGGAAGTTGAATTAGGCAGACATGCCCCTCTGCTCAGCCCTGCCAGCCTCCACTGACCTGCTGCCTCCTGCTGCCTGCAGCACGGTACTATACTATTTGTAAAAGTCCTTAACAGCTTGGGATCAGTTTACATTTGAGATTGCCTTGCTCCATATGTGCCCACTTAACAACTTCAAGAGGCAGAATTGGTGCCACATAATATCTGTTCTGAATTTGTAGGAACTCAGTCTTTTAGTGCGGCTGCACCTACCCTTTGGAACTCCCTGCCTATTGATATCAGACAGACACCTTCACTGTACTCTTTCTGATGCCTGCTAAAAGCATTATTGGTTAGACAAGCCTACTCAGATGTTTAGAAAGTTGTTGCAAGTTGTTGTTTTTTTAGTCTATTGTTGTTCTAACTTTTTGAAAGTTTTAAATTACTGTTGTTAATTTTTTTCAGTGATAATTTTATTGGCTTTGGCTTTTTTGTAAACTGCTTTGAAGTTGTTGTTTTTAAAAAAAATCAAGCGGTGTATAGACATTACGAAATAAATAAATATAAGCATCACTCCATTGGTACCGAACTCTGCCTCCCACCCACTAAACATGAAGGCAGAAATGTCAGCAACAATGTCCAGTCACATGCACTGGCAAAACCCACAAGCAGGACGTGACCGCAGTAGCACTCTCCTGCTATTGTTCCCCAGGAGGTATAATGCTACCTCTGATCCTGGAAGTAACAGATAACCTTTGTGACTAGCAGCCAGTACCTTGTAGATGACACCCCCATTGGAAGAACAGGTCAGCATGTAGTTTCCTTCCGAGTCAAATGCAAAGAGCCTTCCACGTGGGAACTGGACCTGCTTGTATCCGCTGTAGCCAGACAACACAAAGGGGCCAGTGGCATCTCTGGGAAGAGCGTATTCGGACACTTTGGAGCCGCTTTTGTGGATGTTCCACTGAATAAACTAGGATGGGGAACAAGAGACTCTATGTTAGATGCCAGAAGGAAAACACTTGATCATCTTCATTCTGCTGTGCAGTGGCATCTGCAGCTGTGGAGACAGAATTGACAGCTGGCAAAAAACCCAGGAAAAACCCAGCCACTGCAGCTTCTGCCTTCAGGACACTAGCGTTTCCTGTCCATGGGGTTTGTGCACCACCTTGCTTGAGAAGGTGCAGCATGCGGCTGGATCCTTTCTGGGTGGCATTATGCAAATCAGATGTCACTGTCATTAATGGATTCTTAATGCTTTTACCTGAATATGTGGTTATTGACTTTATTTGGCTATTTCACATTCATGGTAAGCTGCTTTGAGACCCCCATGTGCAGTCAAAGAAGCAGTACGCTGATAAATGCAAAAATAGATTGATACAACCCCACGTCTCCCTAGAACCTACCTTCCCATCTTCTCCAATGCTGTAAACAGCATTCTCGTCATAACTGAATTCAACAGAGTAGACTTCCCCATCATGGGCCTTCCAACTCATAGCACATTCATGCTGCTGCATGTCTGAAAAGGGACATAAAAGGGGTGGGGAGTTATTTTTAAGTAAGTGTGCTTTTTAAAAATTGACAACAAATCTTCACAGAATTCTAAAGAAGAAGCAGGGGAAAGGCTCCCAAAACTGTAAAAGGACAGTGTTTCTTCCCTATGTCTGTAGTTGGGTGATTAAAGTGGTAGACTAGGACTTGGGAGACCAGGGGCTCAAATCCCCACTAGACTCATGAATCTCACTGGGTGATCTTGGGCCAGTCACTGTCTCCCACAGAGAAGAAGGGCTGACCATCTAGTTGGCAAAGGAGCATATTGAAAGCTGCACAGAACATTCTGTGTGTGTGCATTTCTTGCTGCACACAATGCTTTGCAAAGAAGGGTACAGGGGTGCTAAAGATACAGCAGCAAGGGCACTCTTCTGTCTCACTCTGCCCCACATCTCCCTGAATGAGGGCTCTCTGAAGGTGGTGTGGAGGACCAGAGGTGTTGAGAATGCTTTGAGCATGGAAAGAATCCCATCTGTCAAGTGCTCTCAGCATATCAGCACTTCTGCCTGAAGCAGGTGCCCCCCGCATTTGAAATCCTCAGACCGAAAGAGATTAGGATGAATACACCAAGCTATGACATTACAGGCAGGGATAGGGAACCTCTGGCCCTCCAGATGTTGCATTCTCATGAGCGCCAGCCAGCACGGCCAATGGGCAGGGGTGCTGTGAGCCGCAGTCCAGCCTCAGACGCCCTATTCTCTGTGTTACAGGAATCTAAGTTGTATTCCCAGCTGGCAATTTACCAAAGAGACGGATTATGCCATCCGCTGCTCCGGTGACCAGCAGATTCCCATTGTGGTTGAAGGCTGTGCAGTTTATAGCAATGGGCTCAGGTTCAAGAGAAAACTGGAGCTGAGAAAGACAACAAAACAAAATGTTAAAGAGAACTTAGTTAGATGTCCTTTGGCCTAGAAACTTTGCTTGTACAGCAGACACACAGGGGAACAATTACTCAGAGCTCTTGGGTTGCTCAACCAAATGGACACTCACTCCATCTGGGTTTCCCCTCTCCTGTTCAGTTCTGCACCAGAGGGAATTTGGGACATTTTGACCAATCCAGTCCATCTTGCCCTCAGAGGCTTTCTTGTACCGTTGCCTCTCACCACAGAAGTCTGAGAACTGTTTCTCACCAGAGAGAAGCTTAAATATAACTCTGGGTAAACAAGGAAGGATATCCTTTCTTATGCTCCTGGGAGAGAGATGCATAACTTTCTTCAGGCATGTCTCCTTTACATGAAAAATAACTTAAAAATTCTGCCGCAAAATCCTGTGTGGGCTCCGACTCTCCCACTTGCCAGTGGCTGCCGCAACCCATCACGACCAGCACACAGGAATGCAAGAAGACTGGATCCATTCTGAGAGTGTCATTAGTTTATTTTGCTTCCACAAGTGAAGCCACACCCTTGAGAAACTGAGGTCCTCTTGGGTTGTGTCTTCCAGCATTAAAAAAATTGCCTGAAACATAGGCAAGATGGGAGGGATCTCATCACAATGGGTGAATAAGACCAAACTGGAGAAGGAACTCGGCCTAAACCACAAGGAGATGGAAGGAAGGGCAGATGCTACAAGTGAGTGGGTGGGGGCAGAGTAGGGGAAGCAGCAGAGCCCAGAAGAGAAAAACAAAACCAAGCTGATGGCAAGTTAGGAAAGTCACATGAATGGAAAGGAGGACTGACTGTGGAACTATAGAAATGGGGAGTGGGGTAGGGTGGGGGCACAATTCAGAACACTCCGGACAACTTCAGTGAAAAGCCTAAAAATTCATCCAGAGTTTTTATGACATTATAATATAAGGTGCCAACAACAAACATTCACTAGACTGTTCATAACTGGCACAGATAAATATTAAAGCAACTGGGATGCAACATTAATCAGACCCAGCCAGCATTCCCAGGGCTCAGGGAGTTGTAGACCAACAAAAAGCTGGAGGGCCACAAATTCCCCATCTGTGAACGCTCCCCTTTGCTCTTTGGGCTCAAGGAAACAACACAACCATACCTGCTGCTTCATGGTTTTAGTGTCCCATAGAAGCAGTTTCCCTGGAACTTGATTCATGCCTTTCCCTCCACAATCTTGTGCTCCATGATCGAGCTGGTTGCCAAGGCCAGACGCAGCAGCTGAACACACAAAAGAAGCACCACTTGGGCTGCACGCGAGGGAGAGGATCCTGAAACAGAGACCCACACGGTCAGCCCTGGCTCTCTGCACAGGAAGCCCATGAGCTGCCAGGCTGGAAAGCAGCCGTTTCTGGCTTTGATCCGACTTTTGTCCAGCCCCTACCCCAACACCTGTAAAAACTATGCATCCAAACAAGCCTCTCACTGCACTGGGGCTATGGGTGGTTCCCTTTCTTTTATTCTCTATTCCTTTGGCCTCTGGATGTTAAGAGGCAGAGAGGTGTTTCTAAAGTGAGGAGTGCAAACAAAGAAGAGTAGCTTTTGATAGTCATGGCCAAACATGAGCAGAAGGACAAGGATTCATCAAGAACTAGCAATCCCTCTGCCCCTGAGAATAGGCAGAAGCTTCCTGTGATGTTCACATTCTCCAAAGCCTTGAGCAAAGTGGAGGCTTCAGATCCCCCCAATTCCTGAACACTCATAGCAGGGAAGATGCAGCTGTACTCTTGTTCTCTTGCCTTGAACATGTAGGGGATAAAAAGCCGCAGGGCAGCAATACTGCCTGTTCCAAAAAAAGTGGGGGGGGGGCTGCAAGAGAAGAAAGCACTCTAGGTTGGCATCTACCATCTACACCAATTGCTTAGAGCAACAACAGGAAACTGGGACAGATATAAATCCCGCAACTGTGGTCAGTTACTTAAAGCAACCAGAAAACAGAATCCATGCCCTTTGTGTCAAAGGTTTAATGTTTTCCAAGAAGTATGGGGAAGCTTAGGATTTAGTGCAGACTGAAAGAAATCCAGAGGAAAAGAGTTTCAAAAAGGTGGCTAACATGCAAACCATCAATGGCCAGTTCCCATTTTCCCTACACATAAAATCTGTGTAACAGGAGGCATGTTTTAAAAAAAACAACCCACAATCCCCTGCCTGGCCTGTTCTTCCGTCAGGATGGTGCTGTACATGGAGGGGTCCAAGCCAAAAATTGTGAATGGAAAGACTTGATCTTCTGTTTGTCTCCAGTCTCATGCTCTGCCTTCACAAAAAGTCAGGGGCGATCCAGGAAAAGATGGTGGGCGCTTTCGGGAGCCTTGTAGTGGCCAAATCACTTTGGCCTTCTCTCTTGCCATGAAGGAGGGGACAGGGTGGGGATTTCTAGGCACAACCAAGCACCACCACCCCATCCTCCGTCACATCTCTACAGCTACAACTTTGGATGAAGGTTGGGGGGGGGCTCTGCACACTTGCCCAAGATGGAATGCAAACCATGGAATTCTGTTGGTCTGCCTCTTTTGTTCATGGAAACTGATTCTGTGTTGGAAAATCACGGCATACAAGGCTGCTCTCAATCCAGCATGAATGAAGCTGTGTGCACCCAGACATGGCACTAAAGCAGCGTACCACCCACACGTGCAAAGGAAAACGCGCACAAAGGAGTATTACGAATCACAAACAAGCAGTTGCCTTAGTGTAATGAGTGTTGGTGAGCTCTGGACAGGCGAACACTGCCTCTGAAGCACAAGCTGGGCATCGCCACGCAAAACAGGGATGCATTTGAGATTTAGAGACACCAAATGACTAGTTTTACGACAGGTGAGGCAAGAGGGACTCTGCTCAAGAGGGTTACCTGGGCATGTCTTCATCAATGCTGATTTCACAAAGATTCTTCTTGGCTTCAGTGTCGTAAAGACGAACAGTCCCAACTCCACTACCCAGCAACAACTGGAACACAGCACCAAGGAGAACGTTAATCAAGGGCTGGGTGGCGGCGACTTCCTGTTCTAGCCACCTTACCCAAAACCTTTGCAGCTATTTCTATTTAGTCTTTCACTGCCCCCACCTCCACCCTGTCACTGCTACCCTTCCATCATCCGTTGCACCTACAACCCCATGAGCATAAATGAGGGATATGCTTCAAGGGAGACTGCAATGACCAAAGTCTAAAAGTCTCGCATCTCTCTCCACCCAGCACTTGGTCTGCTCCATTTCTCTCCAGGAGAAAAGAAAGGGTAGCCAACAAAAAGACCAAAAAGGAATAAAGACAGAGCATCAAATTGGAAGGAACAGATTACAAGGATGCAGTGTGTGGAAATGGCTGAGGCCCTGGTGACCCAATTAGGAAATTAGTAAAGATTGTGGTTCTCCTTTGTACAGTGTCTCATCCTGTGGTCAATCAGGCTATGAAGTCTTTGCATCCACTAGAATCTGGAAAGAGCCATGGAAAACCTACTTGGTTCATACAAAAATGATCAACTGTGCTGAGCATTCATGGGAAGGGATATATTGCCTTCAGGAAGTACCATGCAATACACTTTAGGCCTCGGGACATCTAAGACCAGTCAGAGGTTGTATCTAGGATGCTTCAGCAGCAGTTCCAGATGTTCCCTGTTGCACCAAGCCCAGCTACTCACCAGCCTGTCCCGTTTGGTCGCCCATTCTAGGGAAAGCAGGGGAGACTTGGAAATGGAAGATGCTTTCGTTTGCATGATGGGGTTGAAAGACCACACCTTGATGACCCCGTCCACGTCCAAACTGGCCACTCTTCGACCAGAGCAGTCAACCCTAAGCACAGAAGGAAGTTATGCAATGGTCCTTTCCAACCCTCACGATTACAGCTTCCTCAAGATTTTCTTCTGCCACGTTTCATACAAACTATGCCGGCACTATCATTAAAATAGTACTTTAAACATGCAGAGCCCTTTGCAATCCTTACAAAAAGTCAAAGTCACAGTTTACTTATCGCAGATAAGGAACAGAAGCTGAGGGGCTGGGGAATGCTAAGGCCATAGCCAAGCTCAGACCCCACAACTGCAAGTCCGGCACTCAGTCCACTGAACCGCGGTGGCTCCCTGACCACCATCCTCTCCTTCCCCCAAGGGGGAGTACCCCTTACCGGCAATGCATGATGGATGAGTGGTGTTCTCCATATTCCTCCTGGCTCAGGACAATGAATGGCTGCTCTTGCCTGATGCCTCCAGCATCTATGCTGGACCCGAAAGCTTTGGTCAGGGTTTCTGCTTGCTCAGCATGCAGCTCAGGGGGAGGGTCTGTTTCAGTGGCAATAGCCTCCATCTTCCTGTCAACATTCTGCCCCTAAACCAAGAGAAGGACCCTGCATATAGTACAGCAAGCCAGGAAAATCAGTTAAGCGACTCAGTGGGTGCTCAATGAGTACAGAGTTTTAGGTAACCAAGGCAGAGCTTTGCATCATGCCAGCAGCTAAGATGCATCCAGGCATGTTGCAAGTAGCAGTAACCACCTTCCATAGACAGGCATCATTGTTCACTTTCTGCATGTCCCACCCGCCTGCAGAGAAACTAACCTTGGGGGAAAGGCCCTGCCTATGAAATGCAAGGAAGGGTAGCATATAGCTCCCACAGCCTGGAGCTTTCAATCTAGTATCCTTCTCCACACTATCTTGGAAAGCAGAGGGGCATTAGTCCATGCAGTTCACACTAATACACCTGGATAATTTGCCATACCTGAAAAAGCTCTCTATGTATCCTTGCCACTAGCTGGGGCGTTAAGAGACGCAGGCAAACACAAAATGCAAGACAAAATGCATCTTTTAACTTTTGGTTGGTGCCCAGAGGCTCCTCAGCAATATTAATACACATACAAAGCAACACACAGAAAGTGGAAAATGCCAAGCAGAGGCAGACATTTTCCCTTTTCAGCAAAGTCAGCACACAAAGAAATCCAAACAGGAAATGAAGCAGGCTGGGCCTGTTTACAGAGCAGTAACCGATGAAGGAAACAGAAAGCAGGACTGATCAGATGGTGTCCAATACGGGAGGAAGCATGCAGTGAGAACTGTGCTGGGGCCAGTGTTTTTTAACCTTATCAAATAATCTGCAGTCGGGATAGTTTGCAACACAAAATTATTCAGGATAGTGAGAGCAGACCAAGGAACTCTAAAACCCTCCAAACAAGCCTCTTCAAATGTGGTTTCTTTGCAAGAGAATGGGCAATTAGATTCAGTCATTCATGTCCATTGAAACAAAAAGTATATGCCCTGCATTCGGTTACAAAAAAGTGGGGTCTAAAGTAGCTCTTAACAACCCTGGAAAGATATCTTAGGGTCCCAGTGGAAAGCTCCCTGAAAATGGCAGCTAAGGATTCTTAAAAGATTTTCAGTTTGAAGGGTATTTCATTTCTGTGCTGCTGGCACAGTGGGACCTCTCTTCTAGACACAAGACACCTACATGCCGCTTGCTTATGCACAGCCACTGCCATTAGAGGTCAATGCTCTGAATGAAAATGCCTTCAAATGGGTACCCACTCCATTCAGACAGCCAAGAGGTTTGGAGATAAGATGTATGATTGCAAGAAGCTCCCTCCTGCTTCTATAGGCAACTGAAGGACTGGGGCCTATTCCAGCCCACCGGAGCTTTCATTTGGACAAGAGCCAGGGATACATCTCTGTGCACATTGTGTCATTTCTCCCTAGAAAACAGGTAGAGAGCATGGACAAAGTTCTTTTTAGCCTCATGCTTCCTAGCGTCAACAGCAAGAAAGGTTGTACCCAAGATTCACTCCCATGTGCAAGAGCCACAAACCAGAGAACAGCAGCTGACACGCCGAAGGGAAGAACTCCATTCAAGAAAGCGTTGCTGTTTATTCGGGAGGCGGGGAAGGGGGTTAAGGAGAACCCTTTGTCCCCAACTTAGTTCACACACGAGGATGTCACTAAGTAAAGAAACAATTCTGATTCTTCATTCCCTGCTTGATCCAAACATGAGACTCTCATTTTAAAAAATCAGCACGGTAAGTAACTATCTGCTCAGGCACACATGGATCTGCACTGCTTAGACAAATCATCAGCCTGACTATTACTAGACTGCTTGCATGTGATTTACTGGACACAGAAATACAGAAAAGACTTTATCCCATTCTCTAACCCATCAGAGACACACCGGTCCATACCTGGGAAGCTGTTTTAGTTAAAAGTTCTTTCCTTTCCTTCCCATGATCCTGCAGACGCCTCTGACGCTGCTGTAGGAAGTTGGACTCTGCTGCTACCGGGCTACTGAAGTGACTTTTTAATTCCTTGCAGGCAGTGGCTGCCTCCTTTCCTTTGGTGCTCTAGAAGGTAAAGAGAAGACTTCTCAAGTTTTGGCTCTCCCAGATACCGTGCCTAAGCTGACATTTCTGGTATGCAACACATCTAGGAACATCACTTTTGAGAATTCTTTCAGGTGATTGGTTCTGTGTCCTTTGAACGTTACCCCACCACCTAACTTGGAAATAGCAGAAGAATTCAGTGGTTTGAGAAGGGGAACACCCCCATGCCACCTAGAAGCACCAGCTGTGACTTATTTCGGTTGATCTAGGAGCCTGTGCACCTCCTAGGGTTGCTGTATTCAGCTTTCAATAAAGGTTATTGAGAAGTGGCTGTTGGATGTAGGTCCTCAGTACATCCCAGTCACCATCCTTGGACAAGGTGCAAAATACAAGAACCTGCCAGGAGCAGGTTACCATCAACATGCGGGTTAATATGGAGGACAGTTGGCAAATGGGCACTTGTGCCATTCCTTCTCCCTAGAGGTGCTGCCACCACCTTCACTGATGGGTTTTCAGAGGTATCTTAACAGATTATTCTTTTTGCCCAGGTCTTTGGGGAAAACTGATGTTCTCAAGGCCCACTGTAACTGCGATGCCCACTGCCATATTTATTTAAACCTTTAGCATTTATTAATGGTTGTATTGATGGCATAGTAAATGTTATTGCTTCAATCAGCTATTTAATCAACTACCCTGGGATCTTCCTTGATGAAAGGTGTTTAAAAATTAAATAAGCACATTACCTTCACGTAAATGCAAAAGGGCAACCTGTAAATCAGTCCTAAGATCAACACAGCAGACATCCAGCCTGACTCTAAACACAGGTGTTAGCCTGACTGCTCTTACGGTACCTCACCTGGTGGTTTGATTGCTCTTTCTTGCCCACCGACGCCACACCAGTCTGTGCCGAGCTGGATCCTGTTGTTCTAGAGGAGCCCTTTTTGCTCTGAGACAGCAGAGACGACAGGAATCCCCCTCGGGTCTGCAGAGAGTGAGCAGGGCTTCTTTGGTTGCTTGTCATGTCACTAGAAAAAAGGCAGAAAACCCAAAAACCTCAGCATCAGGTGCAAAAGACAGAGACATGTTCAAAAAACTCCCGCTATCATTATCATCATCATCATCATCATCATCATCATGCTGTGTGTCACAGAGATAACAGCAGGGATTTTTATACGTCTTCCTCCCCAGCTCAGAACTGGGGCCATAAGAGAACTTCCATTTGCTAGAGTTAAACTAGAAGTCACCTCTGAATTAATTGAGGATCCTGGACTATACAGCTATGTTAGGAATGGCTGCAAGGGAACAGAGCCTGCAGCAAACCTTAGTGGACAGTCCCATACGTGGGTGGAAGGTCCCACTAAGGCAAATAAACTAAATAAAGCCATTAAGGGAGCTCCATAGATTCAGGAAGATGCATGATGCTCAACCGCAGGATGAGATTTCCCACATTTTAAACAAAAGGACATTTAAAAGTAACTTAAAGTTATGAAGCTCTGATAGAAAACTCCTATAAAGAGACTGTTCTGTTAAGTGTGGTTGGGTTTTTTTAAAGGGAGAGGCCAGCCAATTGGTTCTGCAAGACCAGGGAGCAGGGGAGAGAGAAAACACCCAACCTTTCTCAAATCTTTGTGGATCTTTCTGAATGAACATACACTTCTCCAAAGCTGCTTGTCCAAGTTTGCCAGCAAGTGAACAACAGCAAAAGGGCCAAGATCTGCCTCTACCATCCAATCATGCAGCCATTTGTCCTGGCCTCTCACATACAGACTCACAGCTCTGAGTCCCCCAGATGGTCCATGTTGGTCACATAGGAAGGAAGCTTGTGGTGGAGAATCAGCTCTTCCTCCTCTTCCTGCTGCTGCTGCTCCTCTTTCTTTATTCGGAAGTACTCTGCTTGCAAGGCAAACAGCTGAAAAAAGTGGGGTTACAGGGGGAACAGAGAGAGATGAATTGCAGGTTCCATGGGCCACAAGCGGCCCACGAGGGTCGCTTAACCGGCCCACGAGCCACCCGCTTGGCAAGTCCCTGTGTGCAGCGCAGCACAGCACAGCACGGGGACTTGCTTCTGCGGTGCCAGAAATCGTGTCTGCACAGATGCTGGAAATCACGGGCATGCACAATCCGGCCCACGAAGGGATCTCCGCTGGAGTGAACCGGCCCAGCCAAGGTAAACCTTGCCGACCCCTGGTTTATATCATGCAACAGTTTATATCGTACACTATTTATTGGCTCTGAGTCAATAGCTCAATTTGAAGTTTAAATATGTGTTCTCCAGTTTTTGTACATAAGAGAATTCGGGAACGGACATTCTCACCTTTTGACGCAGAATTTCATTTTCTTCTTGCAGGAAACAACTTCTCTGACATTCTGTCTCAAAGTTCAAGATTACTGGTACAGGTAAGAAAGGTTAAGGGTGAAAAACTTAAAGCAAGAATGGAAGTCCTTCCTCTAAAGCAGACTTTGCCTACCGAATGCTCTCTAGATGTTTTGAAGGGTACCAGGTTGCTTTGTGGCACCTTGAAGACTAACACACCTTTTATGGGATAACATTATGTCAAACCTACCTAGATATATAGAATGTTGGCATGTATTTTACTTTATCATTGATTTTAACTATTTTTTAATGTTTAAAGTAGCTATTTTTACTGATTTTTTTTGTTCCAAGCAGTATATAAATTTAATAACATAAATAAATAAATAAATAAATAAATAAATAAATAAATAAATAAATTCCACTGCAACAGACTAACAGCCATCTGGAGATTGATGCCACTTTTACAGCTGTTTTGATTTTCAACAATAGAAAAGGCAATTTAAATCAATCCATTTCTTAACAATTTGACCACCAAAGGCAGCACCAAACAGGTCTTAAGGGTGTCCCTAGAAACATGGTAGTTTGTGAGATCATATTTATCTCACTCCTCACTTGGCATCCCCACTACTCAGGGATTTATATTTATTATATATCTGGGGTGGAAGAAGATGGAGGAATATATATTATCCAAAACAGAAAAAAACCCACCAGCTGCTACCATCACCTGCCTGTGGCTTGAAACACTATCGAGAAAATGCTTGAGCTGCAAAGAAGTAACATAATGCTGACAAATGACTGCAGGTCTCTTGCCCAGTTGGTCTAGTTGCAACATGCCAGTTTTGTGGGCTACAGTCCAGAATAAAATACTCTAGCATTACGTTTGGCCTTGGTTTCCTTAGTATGCAATTTTGATAAAGTGGGGATGAGGACGGTGATCTGCTGAAAGAACAAAAGATATAAATCCATAAGTTGTAGATGATATGGATGGACCAGACTAACAAGCCACACCATTGCTCTGTAACACACATATGGGAGAAAGCTGATTACCACTCTCTAACATGACAAGAGAAAGGAAGAGAGAACAGAGGATGAAGCTGTTTCATAATTAAAACTATTTTTTCACATCTAGAAAGGATATGCATACACTGAAATAAGACACTGAGGAAGTTGTGCAGAGAAACGATGAAAGTGTCTGCCCACTGGCGGGAAAAATATGTTGCAAAAGTAGGATTTGCATCTGGATTGGTGATGAAAGGTAGAACAAACCAGTCCTTCCACTCAGCTTGGTTCTGAAGTTCAGAGGCTTGTTTGAGAAAGAATTCCTGTGTCTTGTCGTTCCTGTTTGTCTAAAACACAGAAAACAGAAAAGGGGCTCAGATTACAAATTGTAATGCTGCTCCGGCAGCTGCAAATATTGGTTTCTGTTCTGGACCCAGCAGGGTGATAGGAGTACTTTCCCCCACCTAACTGCTAGAGAAGAAGGATGCGTACAGCATTTTGTTAGATAAGGCAACATATTTACTCTTAAAACAACCCAATTGTATTTTGAAGAAAAGCTATCTGCTTGACACAAACCTGCACAGTATGAACGAGGTAGTAGCGGTATAAACTAATTTTCAGCTTGTTCACGGTAGGTCGGTACATATCCTCCAATCGACTGAAAAGGCGTCTGTCGAGGTAGCTCCAGTAATCCCGAAGGGCAGCCAGATCATAGCTATGAACGAACTGCAGAAACTGGTCCACTATCTTATCTACCTGAAGAGACAGCACAGATCCCCAAAAACCCAGTTAGTCCTTGCCCACGTTGTCAGCTTCCGTCACCAAAAGCCATAACAAAAACCACACATAAACTTTGGAGACAAGGTCAGGTTACACAACCTGCATCAGTCATGAGCCTCAAATGAGGAATTCCAAGAGCCACTAGCAATGCCTTTCAGTTTTCCTTTTGGGGCTGAGGCACCTTAGTGCCTCTGAGTCACTGGCAGTGCTGAAGGACCTAGTAACATTATTCCAAAGAAGTAAGTCTGTAAACCCGCTTGAAGAACAGCCTCTTAGACAGCCCTCACCAACTCAATGCCCTCCAATTATTTTGGACAACAACATCAGCCCTAGCCAGCTGGAATCCAACAATATCTGGAGGGCCACATGTCCCCCACCTCTGATATAAACAAAGCATAGCTTCTATGATATTGTGTACTGACATGCCAGGGGAGGGTGGAAGGAGAGAAGAAAGAATCAGAAGTCTTGCTTTCTTTGCCAAGATTTTCCAGGCAGATGTTCCCTTCTGTTAAAGCAGCTAGGCTTGAAAAGAGGCTATAAATGTATGTTTGACTGATATTTCCAGTTTTGTCACATCCAAATGGAACTTTTATCATTCAGTTTTTGGAGACTCACTGAAAACAAGGAAGCTGGTTTCAACAAAACATCGCTAACTTCTTTCAAAACCAGGCTAAAGTCATCCTTGGCACTGTAATTTCTCAGCAGGCCCAGTAAGAATTATTGTGCTGCATCCACCAACATCCCATTGTCTATCTAACACAGCCTTCTTCAACCTGCTGCTCTGCAGGCGTCACTGGACAACACCTCCCATAATCCCTTACCCCCAGTGATGCTGGCTGGGGGTGATGGGAGTTGAAGTCCAAGAATCCCTAGAGGGCACCAGGTTGGAGAGGCTAATCTAGGTCAGTGTTCCATCTTCCCAGTTTATTGCTTCCACAAGGCAAAACTCTAAATGAGATTGGCTAGTTACTGAGGTTGCTTGAATCAGGGGGAACAGAAGAAGACAGAAAGATGAAGAAAACTGCCAAAAACCAAATGTAGAGATGGCACTTTCCAACACGCTTAACTGGAAGTATACCAATGTGACAGGCAGTTCTAACATCAAAACAAAAGCATTATATGAATAGGTGAGGTGGTGGGATTTCATGTTCTGGAGGAATTGAGGAATTGGCAAAAGACCCCCTCACCAAAAAAAAGGAAGGAAGGATTTGGCAATAAAATCTGGCAGTTCTTAATATACCCTCACAGAAGGGTCATAAGGCAACGTAACGATTCATATACAGTATATGCATAATTTTAATCACATATGAAATTATGATTTCAAACACTGCATTGGAATGGAAAACAATCTGTGTTGATACTAGGCCTTCATATGCAATCCTTTTATCATTTACATTCCCAATCTCATAAGGCAGGATACTATTATTCCCATTATATAGAGTTGCAGCTGGAAAAAATGAAGTGTGGGGTGTGGGGCTTGCTCCAATCAGTTTGGGACTGATTTCAGACAGGACTGTTTTCTATTTTTGGGATGAGCAACCACTAGCCCCTAGGCAAATTTTGAGCACAAGGCCATTTCCTTCACACCAAACCCACATGCCCTATACCTGAAGTCATATGTGCGGTAGACACACAGCAGGCTCAGAAGTGAATCTGAGTTCCCTTTGGGGAACTCAGCACACAGCCAAGCCCTGCAGAAAGCATCGCCCATCAGCTGAATCACATGCATCCTTTTCAGTGTGAAAAACTTCAAGTGTGCTCATTATCACATGCCAACATCCCTTAGCCTTCAGCTATACTGAATATAGACAGTGCAAGTCAGCAGCAAAATTTAATAGTCTGAGTCTTCTGACCAACCTGGGCTAATTTAAATTTTGCTGCTGACTTGCACTGTCTATATTCAGTATAGCTGAAGAGGGGAGAGAAAGACCAGTTAGAACTCTCCTCTGTGGAATTCAAGAGAATATTATTCAAATTATCTAGGCTCTGTTTAACAAGTGCAATGTGTTGGGTACTGCTTTATACATATCTGAATTTACTGAAACCCCATTCAAGAGCTTTGTGTAAAGGGAAACACACTGTGTATTACTTCTAATGCCAAATATATTTTCGTTGATGCCCTGTTCCTAATTCCAGATGCGTAAGGACTACAGTACTGCAGTTACTCAGCTGAGGAAAAGGGAAGTACTCTGACCCTACTCAGGCTCTCTCCTCTTCCTTGCTAGCCTGCACTTGCTCCGGTGGGGAAGACCTGCTTAAATTTAGGCACGGGTGCCGCTACAAGGGGCTACATGAGGCAGCCATTAGGGGGACGCTGGACTAGCTGCTAAGGAACCCAAAGGCCATCCAAACCAACCCGCCCGCAACACCAGGCCCATCTAGCCAGCGGCAGCAAGTGTCAACGCAGCACTGGCAAGGGCGCTCAAAATCCCAGGCGCGAAGCATTTCACACGTAATGCAATGCTGCTCCTTGCAGGTTCGTGAGTTAAATAGGAAAAGGAAAGAGGAGGGGCGGGCGGGACCTGCTCCCCCCAATTCCTCCTCCCCCAGCCCTTCCTTCCCTCCAGCCACCCGCGGGTCCTGCCGGCTTCCCTCCCGGGCAACCCTCACCCGGAAGCCCTTCTCTTTGTCCGCCTTGATCTCCGCGTCGAACTGCTTCAAGGTGGCCGTGAAGCCGCGGAAGAGCAGATATTCCCGCACCAGCTCATCGGTGCGCTCCGCCGCAGCCGCCATCGCGCCGCCGGGTCACGGGGAACAGGGAGGGACGCTCCGAGCTCCGCGCGCCGCCCTCGCTGCCACGCTCCGCCCCTCGCCCAGGCGCTCCGCTGCCCTCGGTTCTCCCAGCACCGCTTTTTGCTAGAATCGGCGTTTGGCGGACAGCGGGATCGCGTTGGCTTTTGTTTCGCTTTGAAAGAGAGGAGACTGTCTGGTTTTGTTGGGTTGAAGGCTCGGGCCTGAGCATCAAGGCGGGCGCTTCTCTGCAACCGCGAGTTGGAACCTTCCTTACTGTTAAGGGAAAATGCATCGTTTTAAGCACACCTTTCGAGATTGTAAGGATCCCAGATGCCGCAACAAACTTGCCGACAATCCAGCCAAGGGTTTACCTGCCATTAGCACACATGGTGTTAATACTTCATCCAGACCTGTCAGCAGGCACTCTATGGACTCTAATCATTGTTACTTTATTATTATTATTATTATTAGCCAGTTTGCTCTCTCTCTGGGAGAATTTACTTTCCTACCTTGTTGCACGATCCTCTCTCTTCACGCCCACCGATATATTCCATTGTTATATGAGTATAGCATTCCCCACCCGTCCTCAAGGCCAGAAAAATAACATCAGTCGCACAGGTGCAAGGGGTTTCTAAGTCAGCATCCATGTGTGTCTGAAAACCCAAGTTCACTCCTGGAATTTTAAACTGAAATGACAGCAAAGCAACATCTTAAGACGTCTGTGAAACAGCACAACAGCAGTTGTCATTGCTTTCCTTGTAAAATTGCTACACATTTTCTTGTATGCGTGCATCCTATTGAACGTTAGCGAGGCGTGCTTCGTGGTCACCCATAAATCATATTCATTATTTTTACATTTTAAATTCTATTTGTTTTCTATAGTAAAGCAGCAAGGGAGAATTGTTCTTCCTCAGCATTTATTTCTTTGCTGCCAGGGATGTGCTGCGTGTAGTGTAGCAACTGTTCAAGATGGCCAAAGCAGCTTTGGGGAAAAGGTGGTAGCTTGTATACCCCAAAATACTACTTCGGGGAGCTGGTCAGACCAGGTTGCCCCACTGCAAGCTGGTGTTTGAAAGTCTTCACTCAAGAGGGCGCCTTACAAACTCTTTCTCCGGCATAGTACTGTAATCTGTTTACATGTGGATCCACCACTCGCCTTTTCCCTCCCAAATGCAATTTAAACCCTATCTTGGGTGGACTGGGCGCGAGCTACACGTGTCAGGTGTTTCATCCGCCAGGCACGTGCAGAGGAAGTGACCCGGTTTAAAGGAGACACCCAGCGCCTACAAACGCTTTCTTCCAGCACACACAACATCCGGTCTAAATTGGGTTGCGTTTACACGGAGATACTCAAAGGACGGCCACCTGCCTCATGCCCGTGTGAACGCAGCGCTGCACCAGAAACACAAATGCAGGAGGTACTTAACTATGGGTGTATCAAGAGTAAACAACTTCCGTTCCACGTACAGTACTATATTCTAACCTATACCTATGTTAAGCGACACACGAGTAAATGCTGTTTGCTGCCCGGTACTTTAAAACCCCCTCACTCAGCTTCACCCACTTTCCCAAATCTCCGTCCCCGCTTCGCCTCTTTCCCCTTTTCTGCCGCTGCCCCGTTTTTCTTTCCCGCGTTTTTGTTGCCCTTTCCCAGCCCCGCTACCAGAACGGCCGGCTCGACACCGGAGCTTTCCTATTGGTGGCTTGAGATGCCTCCTGTGCTCTGATTGGCTGTGCGCCTCTCGGCTAGCGCTAGGGCGAGGGGATAGAGCGGGAAGGCGCGCGGAGGGGCGCGTGCTGCGAAAGCTGCGCTGCTGGCTGCTAGCTTGGCGCAAGGTGAGCTGGAGGAGCAGGCGCCGCTTGAAAAGCATCCTTCGCGTGAGGCATCTTCTGCAAAGAGGCGTGCAGCGTCTTCCTCTCGTATCCCAGGGCCGAGTCTGCAAAGGGGCAGAGGGAGGCTGGGGGCATAAAGTGGGGAAGGAGTTGGCTCCCCTAAAGCAGAGCAATGTCTGGGGGGAAAGGCGGTGAAATGTAGTGGAGAAACGGGCGGGGCAGGTAGAGGGATTGTAGATATTTTTCAACAGCAGCGCCGTGGTTGGAGAGACAGCAGATTCCCCAACTCCCCTGAAGTCAGTTGGGAAAGTGGATTTTTAAAAATAATGGAAAGGCTGGTTTGAGACAGCAACGAACTAGTTGAAATTTGCTGTCATTATTCTGTCTATGTGAACTGCAGCTCTCCAGGGTTTCAGAAAAATTCCCAGTGCCCGCTGGGCAAGACCAGGAATCCTGGGAGCTTTTGAAGTAAGGCAGGTGGTCTGCTACCACTGAGCTACAGCCTTCCCCAAATCTTAAAAACACTTTTCTTCTAAATACCAGTTTACTCAGATGTAAGTCTGTATTTGAAAAATGTCACAGTGGGTTTAAATGTGCTCTTGAAAATACCAAGTGGGAGGGATCAATCCTGTGGTCACTCAGTGTCAACTGAGTTAACTATATATTGCTGTGGAGGAGAATAAGAAATCCACTGACATAATTAACAGGTGATACCAGACTGCTATGTAAATATCAAGAGCCTTTCCACTCAAGATTTGCAGAACTTGGCAGGAGTCTGCAGCACTGTTTGTTTAATTCAAAATATCAAAAATGAATTATTTGCTTCTGTTGTACAAAATCTCTAAGTGCTGTTTGGAGCACAGTCCTTATTCCTTTCTATATATATTTCCAGAACTAAATATTTCCAGAACTAAAGGAAGGAATAAGCCATGAGTCACACCTCAGTTACAGCTGGTTTTATCCTAGGATCTCAGTAGAATTGGAGGGATGTAATATATGCTCTGTGTTGCAAAAAGGGTCTGTGCAAGCCTCTTGCACTGTTCTTGAATGCAAAATAAATGTGCACTCCAAGCCCAAGCATATTTATTTGGAACTATGTAAGTCCCACTGAATCCAGTCACATGTCCAGTCAGACATAAGCATGCAGAATTTCAGCCTTAAAGGATCTGGTAGAGATTTGTCAAGAGGATGTCTGGCTAAAACAGTGGACCTATTACTTGTGGGTAATAGGGTAACTATTTTCTTCCTGACCACAATTCTGTTTCTTCAACAGCAGCTTGACATACATTGTGAAAGCACACAACGGTTTTCTTATCAGTTTACCTCTGGCCCGCCCCTGGTGTTTCCTGAACCAATTTGATGTAGTGGTTAAGAATGCCAGACTAATTACAAATCCCTGTGCAGGCATGTTGCTAACTTGTAAGTGTAATTTACTTCTCTGAAACAGCAGCTAGGTTGGTAAAGCTGTGCTGGCTGAATTTCGTCAGGTAGAGTTTTGTGTGACTGCTCTGCAAAAATATTAAAAATTAATGAACATAAAAAATTAGGTATTGCCTCTTCTACTCCCAGACTTGTTGGTTTTCAGTATATGTACAGTGGTACCTCGGGTTACAGACGCTTCAGGTTACAGACTCCACTAACCCAGAAATAGTACCTCGGGTTAAAAACTTTGCTTCAGGATGAGAACAGAAATCATGCTCTGGCAGCAGGAGGTCCCATTAGCTAAAGTAATACCTCAGATTAAGAACAGTTTCAGGTTAAAAACGGACCTCCAGAACGAATTAAGTTCTTAACCTGAGGTACCACTGTAAAAGATTGTGTTGTTGTCGTTTTCCCCATAGGTGAACTCCACCTGCAGGCTGACATGGTGAAATGCAGACATACAAGTTTGCCACCTTATCTACTGTTTTTAATAACTGGGCTTCTGTGCTGGGAAAAGTGTCATCTGCTAAATTTCTTTGTGTCGGGTTTTTCTCAGAGGACATGACCAGGGCCTAGGAACGCTAATGGATAACAAGGACTCAGAGCTGTCTTTAAGGCTTAACAGAGGCTAGCAAGAGACAATTGGTTTGGTCAACCCAAGTTAAAATGACAGCCTGACCTAGGTCACTTCCAGATTGAGCATTAATCTTCATTTGTTTTTACAGGTTTGCAGGGGGCTATTTATCAAGCATTTGTTCTGATTTGTTGTGGGGAGGTTATACAACATCCCACACTTTCCAGTGCATTTACAATTTCCTTGTCACAAAAGTCCAGTTGTGAGAGGAAAACAGGTTTGTTGCACAAGAGCTCGAAATCATTTAATTACACAACCTGAATTTTCTGGTTTGAAAATGCTTTGAAATGGGCTGCTTTAAAAATAAAATCCACATTTTGTCTTGAGATGCATTCCTATTTTGGGGTTTACTTCGGATACTCTTTGCACTTCCTATTGTATTTTATTTTTCTGGCTGGGTCTTCTTTTCTTTATTACATGGATATAGATTACCTACAGTGACTTTCTGATCATTTTAGCACTTAGCAGGCATTAACAAGGTAAGGGGTGCTGGGGCTCATGTTGCTTAAAATCAGTTTGCTTTGTTGCACTCGCCACTGCTGATATTAAGCTGTTTTTTAAGCAGTGGAATGACATTGTCTTACAGCTTTTGATGGAGACATCTGGAAATTGTAGCACCCCATATGCTAGAGTGACTTCTAAGTATCGTACACATCTGCAGGATCCAAAGTCGCAAGGGGGCAAAAGACGGTTGTCTCAGGCACGCAACAGAGCTACCTTGGCAGGACTTTTCAACAACCTACGAGAAACAGTATATTCTCAGCAAGATAACTCCACATCAAAGGTATAGAAATAATTCGGAATCAGCACCTATGGGCCCATCTGCACTATTTTTAAAACACTGTTGTTCCTCTTTAAACAGTCATGGCTTTCCTCAAGGACTCTTGGGAACTAGTTTGTTCCCAGGAGTGCTGTGAATTGTTAGGAGACTCCAGTTCTCCTCATAGAACTACAATTTCTGGGAAGAGAGGCTCTGAGAATTATAGCTCTTGGAGGAGAATGTTGGCTTCTGAATCCATCTTTTCTTTATGTGTTTTGAGGAATACAACAAAGGGTCGAAACAATCTGCATGAAAGGCCATGCATTTCCTGACGTGGTGGATATTTATTTACTGTGCTGTCTTCCTTTGCTTTTCATAATTCATTGTACAGTATTTGAAGTCTTCAAATGGATGTTTAGCCAGCAACAAGAAGACGATCAGAAAAATCTAAGGCATATTAAAATGTTAATCTGTTCAGAACACAGCTAGATTGGGCCTGTTCTCTGTTTTTGTTTAGTGTCAGGTTTTATGCAAGGCTAAGAATTATATCCAGGAGCTGGAGAAAACCTTGGAAAACTTGCTGAAGATGAAAGGTATCGTACCAGCGCCATGAGACCTCGTTTAAATATGAAAAACCTTTTCCCTGACTTTTTCAGTAGGAAAATGTACTAGGCAGACATGACTAAAGAGGTAAACTGTCCCTGCAGATGGCTGAGGTTCTTGTTCCTTCTGACATACCATCCTGAGACTGGTTCTTCTTACAAATAGTAGGTGAGGTGGTAAACCTATGTCTTCAGCTAGGGATGTTGGAGAATTCTAATGGAAACAGAAGCAGAAATTGCCACCGTTTGTGCTTTTGTCCCAAAGTGGAGAACAGAAATCAATCCAGCAATTACAATTGGTATTCACTTCTTTTTAGTCTGCAACTGATACCTAATTAATGACCTAATTTTAAACATTGTTCTGACTTTTCCTTTACATTGAAATGAATGGCCTAGGAAGGAGTCCATCATTAATTATTTCATGCCAGGGTCTCATTCTAGCTCACACCTCCTGCCCCCTGAAATTTATGATGGGGGAGGAGCTTGCACTCAAAGATGAACTATGTGATTAAGTCATATGTATTCTGTCCCTCAGTGTGTTTCAGTAAATACAGAAGGCATGCTAGATTTGGACTGGAGAGACCTCAATTTTAATCTTTGCTCAGGCTTGAAGATTACAAATTATCCTTTGGTGATGTCACTTTTCCCCCAGGCTATCTTGCCTCTTCCTTTCCCCCCCATCTGACCCACTGTTGTCTACTCTGACTGGCAGTGGCTCTCCGGAGGCTTGGGCAGAGTTCCTTTCTCATCCCCTGTGCTACCTGCTCCTTTCATGCTGGGGACTGAGCCTTCTGCATGGCCCCTTCCAAAATAAAGTTGCGGGATTTTTCTGTGATCCCTCATAGGCCCTGTCTTCTCTGGCTTGCTAACTTGATTGTATTTCCTTCTGGAATTTACAGTTCTAGTGCTTATTTCGTTTTACTCTGCTTTCCCCTTGGTTTTTACATTGTGATATATAGTGTGTTTTTTTATTGTAAGGTGTTTTGAGCATAAAAAAAGGATGAGGATTTAAAATATATATACCAGTATCTTGTTGGTAGCTTATGAAGCCATTTACCCCCATCATTTCCTTGAAATGGGCCTGGTGTGAGAGAGCTTCAAGGTGTGCCACTTTGTTGATGGGTGCTCATTCTTCTGGCAACAGAGGTTTTAAATCTGGAGGATGGCCATCCATCGAGTTTGGAGGAAGTAAAGGAAGAATATGTCAAAATGTACTTCAACAATCACAGGTAAGTCACCGAAAAATATAGATGTACTGAATTTGTCCCCTTTAAGCAACTCAAAAAACTTTTTTGCAAGCTTCAGGAGGATAAACTGCTTCTGCCTTGTGAGTTGTGTATGTACACACAGTTTCAGGCTATAGAAACAAACAAGAAGCAAAATTATTGCAGAGCAGGCTGAGTCAACCCTTAAAAGCAACTCATTTTGTAGCATCTTATCAGTCCCAGACCCAAACTCCTCTTACATTTGCTTCTCTCTGCCAATGTAGTCCTTTTCTTAACATGATTTGGATAGCCTGGCAAGTTATTTGGAAAAAAAGTACCTGCTCATAATAAAAGCTTTTGTCTAATTAGGTTTTACTCAGAGCAGACCTATTGAAGTTAACAAACTAAAATTGGCTAGGGTGATTCATTTCAGTGGGTCCGCTGTGACTGGATAAAATCCACAGCCAGTCAATCTCTCATCCCCTAAATTATTTCTAGCTTTCCTTTTCTTGCTTCTAGTGCTGCTGCATCCCCTCCTTCAAATTCTGCGAGTCAGAGTGGCGCTACTGTCTGGTACGTGATTCAGGAACACGAAAAGACCTCAGTAGGGGAGGATGTGACTCTGAGGCTGACACAGTCGCCAGCTGCCTCTTCTCCTGACCTTATGGAGTTTGAGCGGTATGTGAAGCTTTTCCATTGTTTCTCCCTTTGGAACAACCCACCGGCTAACGTTACAGAGGACGGAATTTTCTGAGTCCTTGCCTGAGTCCTTGCCTGATACAAGAAAGACACCAATAGCTGCAGGATAGGGTGATTGCTGTGGGTCTGACTTCTCTCTTCATAGGACTCCCTAACGAGAGAAACTGTACCCTGTGGAAATTCTGCTGGAGTGATTGGTTACCTTTGTATAGGGGGAATTATTGGGTTGTCTTTGTTTTTATTATGTATTTTGCATTTTTTATATTGTCATTGTTATATTTTATGTTGTTAGCCACCCTGAGATCTATAGGTATAGGGCGGTATACAAATTTAATTAATAATAATGGTAATAATATAGTCCCTGACACTTTTGCTCTGGTATACGTAACATAGGAAGGCCACAGGAAAGCAGCTCCATTTGTCACTGAGCTTTGCAGCTTTTAAAAAATTCTTTTCCCCTGTGAATAGAGGAAATGTTTGCTCACATCTGTCATAGCCAACAGAATAGCTTAAATGGCTTGAGCACTGTAGAACACACCCACCAACCCATATAGATATATCCATCCCATACAAGCTTGGGATAATGTTTTGTTGATACAAATGACAAGCTAAGACCTAGCTTGATGCACATTTGTGATGACTTATCTTCTATTGCTGCTTTTTTAAGTATTATATGCCCACCACATAACATAATGTTATAATTCTGCACTATAATTCTGCAATTCTCTTTTGAGGGTGAGGCTGAAATAGAGGTATCAGTCCAGCTTGGCCAGCAGGTGGCGCAAGCCTGCTTCTCTCATACACTTTATTGCTGCCTTTTCTAAGTAACAGATACTGAGTTCTTTGACTGTCCGCAAAAGTTCTAGCCAGCAAAATAAGTACTTAACTCCTCACAAAACCTATACAACTCCTTTTGTGGTTTCTGCTCCCTCCCTCCCCACCTTCAGTGATACTCCTTAGGGCAAGTCTGACCAGGTCTGTCACGACAACAGTGAATAACTGGCTGTTGCTGTGCAATAATAGGGCAAGCACGTGTGTCCTCTTTACATCACTGATTCTCCTCCAGTAATTGGTTCTTTTATCAGATGTGGCACAGTTGTGACCTTCCCTTTTAGTGGTTGGATAGCTCAGCTGGTAGAGCATGAGAAACTTAATCTGTGGGTCATGAGTTCGAGCCCCACGTTGTGTGAAAGATTCCTGCATTCCTGGGGGTTGGACTAGATGACCCTCGGGGTCCCTTCCAACTATGGGTCTATGTACTATGGCTAGATAGTTGGGCAACACAAGAAATCAACTCATTCTCTCCCCCCCATCCACCCACCTACCCTAAATCATAATTTAGGGAAACTTCCAGTGAGTTAACAAGCATAATAGACTACTGAATAGGATGACATGTTTAACACAGCTGAAAACAAGACCATATATGTTCAGTCACCAGGAGAAATGCAGGGTGATTCCCTGGCTTGATACTTTGGTGTACAAAGAGAAGGGCCCATTGCTCTGTTGGTGGTTCACTTGTGCATGCAGAACGTCTGTCCCAGGCTCAGACCTTGGTTAACTCCATTTAAAAGAAGAAGAAAAGGGTTCAGGTAGCAGGAAAGAGCACTCTCTGCTTGATCCTCCTGGAAATCTATTAACCGTTAGAACAGACAATAATCTGATCTGGGACGAGGCAGCTTCCTAAACTGTGCCACCTTCTTATGGCTGCTACTGAATATATGAGTCACAAAAGGGACCAGCCAGTTGGTCTCTGCGCTATTGGATGCTATCCAGACCACATTCTGAAAGCTGTCTCCTTTCCTCTCTTATCTAGATACTTACATTTTTACAAACAGACAGTAGACCTGCTGGTAGATAATGGGGTTGTGAGCCCCGAAGACGTTACTCTTCCTGTGGTGTCCACAGCCGTTTCCCACCTGTGGCAGGGCCTCCCTGAAGAGAGGAGGGACGGTGTCCTGCAGTACTGTAATCAGAGGCAGAATTTCATCACTGAGGTCAAGATGGCTTCCCAAGAGCCTCCTTGTACTGAGGGCAGTGTGAGGGACAGCGGAGCTAGTCAGGAAGCCAGCGGTTCGCTAGTGTCCACACCAGAGGAGGTGAGAAAGAATCACTCTTAAGGTAGGATTCAAGCTTCAGAGTTCTAACCAGGACTGGCTCTAAGGTTGAAGTGGCCCTGGGCAAAGCACCTTTTGGTAGCACCATCCTCCACCTGTAGCCTCTGCAAGAAGCAGGGCCTCCCTCTGACAGCAGGTAGTAGTGCCTTAACCAGTGTTCTCTAAAAAAGGCAGGCAGCTGATCCAACTGACTGTTTTATTTCTCTGCGTGGGATTTATAGCCAGTCTTGTACCATAATGTCCCAGGGCATTGCTTATCAATGAAACAACAATCACACCAGGTCCGCCTTACCCATAGGGGTGCCAGGGCGCCAGTTTCTGGAGGGTGCCAGGTGAGAGTCCGGGGAACACCGAATGAGTGAGCGAGGGTGCGTGCACTGCTCCCGCTGAGCATCAGCTCGTTTTTTCCCCTTTTAGCCTGCAGGCGCCGAATTCTGCGGGGGGGCCAGAAGGCTAAAAGGGGGAAAACTGAGCCAATGCTTGGCGGGAGTGGCGCAACGCACACGCGGCGCAGGTCTGTGCGCTTGGTGTGCTGCCTGCTGTGGCCACTGTGGCACGAAGCGAGTGGCCAGCTGAGCCAGAAGGTGCCGCGTCCAGCCCTAAAAAAAGGTCAACAACTCTGGGAAAGGCGGGGGCGCCAGAGGGATCTTTGCACCATGGTGCCGGATATGCTTAAGACGGCCCTGAATCACACAATACATAAGTAAATAGTCAATAAAATAAACAGTGTCAAAACAGTACCAAAGCAGGCAATAAACAATTTCAGGCGAATGGCTTGTTAAAATCCTCAACCCACTCCCAAATGCTGGAGCACAGTGCCTCCAAAGAAGGATCAGTCTAGCAAATCACTTTCGGTGTTTTACTGACACCGTTTTTATTGTTCTCTTTTGTTGCTTTTTTCATTCTATGTATCGCCCTGCTATGACAGGCAGTTTTACAAATAATAAATAAATGAATACATTGTGGTAAATTAAAATTATGGCTTGACTGGGGTGCTCAATGCTACAGGGAGCGTTTGACTTGGATTAATAAATAAATAAATTGGATGAAACAGAAATCCGGGAGGACAGGCATCAGCCGTGGGCCCTGATGGGGTGTCAAGAGATTCTAGGTTCTGACACTTGCCCTGGCTCCTAATCTTCAAGAATGCTGGCACACACCCCAAAAGTGTAGGGCAGGTGTAATGACCTATTTTAAAATCACTAGGATAAATTATAAACTCAGAAGGCAGGGCAGGTCCTGAGAATAAATGGCAGGAGTCATTAGACGGGTGAGGAAAAATTACAGGTAAGGCAGCACCTGTTTCCAACAAAAGCTGTAAACCTGAGGTTCTCAGCTAAAGTGACCATCTTGAAATGAAGGAAGAAAAATGTTTGAGCCCCTCCAGACATAAACAGCACAGTGACTGGGCAGGCAGGCAAAACTCACTCATGGAGAAGGGTAAAGAGGTCAGCAATCAAAGCAAGCAGTAGCATCAGCCCCATGTAATTTGAATGGGTGGGTGGGTTTACATATAGAAATTTTATGAAATAAATGAATAAAATAACAATGTATAACAATCAACAAGAGACCCATGTATTAGGAAAAATACAAAAGATTGCAGAATTAAATTTCGACAAGGTTGAGCTGCCAATATGAATAATTAAGGTTAATATTTATATCAGGGGTTGGCAGTGTGCAGCCCATGGGCCAGATGTGGCCCACAAAGACCGTTTTACCAGCCCACAAGCCGCCCCTGAACTGAACCGCCCACTCGGTGAGTCCCCCATGCGCTGTGCTAAACCGATGCAGTGCGGGAACTCGCCAAGTGGTGCCCATAATTGCGTCTGCGCATGTCTAGACTCCAAAAATCGCTTCTGTGCAGGCGTGATTTCCGGCATCACGCTGCGCCAGTCCAGCCCACGGACGATCTCTGTGGGAGTGATCCGGCCCATGGCCGGTAAACCTTGCCAACCCCTGATTTATATGAATGAAATGAATACCATATGTGTGTGTGTGTATCTCTATGCTTCCATACAGTAAATGTACAAATTCCGTGCAAAGGTACAGTTCATGAGACTTTGTGATGTTACTAGCCAATCTACCAATCATATTCCTCATATTTTATCTATTGGCATGATTTCAACCATCACGGCTAACCAACTAGTTCAGGAATGATGGGAGTTGGAGTCCGTCAACATCTGGAGGGCCACAGGTTCCCCACCCCTCCTCGCCTTCACACTTGAGGAATCTTGGTTACAACTAGGCTAAAACAGAAACATAAAACACAGATACAATTCACATGCTGCAGATACATTCACTGTGTTATAGAAAGGTGGTTTAAACCCAGTTATGTGCACACAGCCGAGTTGGATCTGGAATTCAGATGATGCAGTTTAGCACAATGCTAGAAAAGGATGGAGCTACCAGCACAATCCCTACCTTTCATTGAAGCTGTTGTGAATAACTGACCCAGATTCAAGGGTTACAGAGAATTAAAAAGTGACGCTCACAGTGAAACTAGCTGGCTTCTGTCCCACACTTTTTATTAATTATGGCCAACTCTTATAAAACCAGGAAACAAAACACGACCTACCCTAATAATAGCCTGTGTTTTTTAAGAGATAAAAACTAGATTTTTAAAGAGATGATTGACACTAAAAGCTTTATTGCTCATGAGTTCCAAGTTCCTTCCTTCCATGTTTGTCCATCTGCATTCCTTTGTCATGCAGGATTATGAGGTGTGTGTTTTTGTTAGATATAGTGCTTCGCAGAATACCTTCCTATGTTGTTGTTGTTGTGAGTGGCATAGTGTTCAAACAAGACACTAACACCATATCTAGCTGAGAGCTAGTATCCAAAATGCCATCTCTCTCTTTTTTTAGATCCTCTTTGAAGATGCATTCGATGTGGCAACTAGCTTCCTGGATAGAAATGAAACCCAAGAAATGTCCAGCCAAAGGTAATAGGCTCAGTTCTGTGGACTGCCAAGATCATGGGTCGGCAAACTAAGGCCCGGGGGGCGGATCCGGCCCAGTTGCCTTCTGGATCCAGCCCAGGAATTGCTGCGTGAATTGGTGTGGGTATTCTGATTGTTCAGGCTGTGCCATTACCCCCCCCACACACACACCGCCGCGGCTCCTCCTCCCTCCCTCCTCCTGGTTCATCCCTGCCCTGCCTAGAGGAGGAAGGGGATGGGCTTTGTTGAGCCGCAGTTGGCTGAGCTCCATTTTAAGCAGCCCCTCTCCAGAGCCAGCCCTTTCACGCCACCCATCATCCTGCCTCCACCAGCTCCTGCCGCTTGCAAGGCACAGGTAAGCAGCCACTGGGGCTTGTCCGGTGCTGTGGAGAAGGGAGGGTAGAGTCGGGGTGTTCCCAAAATATAGTCCGGCCCCCCACAAGGTCTGAGGGACAGTGGACCGGCCCCCTGCGGAAAAAGTTTGCTGACCCCTGGCCAAGATCATAGCATAAATCACTATTTCACTCCACGACCACCACCTCTCCTTAACAAAGCTTTGTAGGTTGGTGGAAAACCTTCCTTTTTAAAGGCGGCTCTGGATTATAAATGGTTGTTTTATTGAAATGGTTAGTAGCTGTCTCTGTATATCATCCTATTGCTGCTGTATTCTGGGATGTCTTTTCTTTTTGGCTGCTGTTTTAGTGTTATTTTTAAGTGATGTTTTAAAAATGCTAGCTCATGGCTTTATTTCTGTTGTTAGCTGCCAACCTCTAATAGGGAAACGCACAATACAAATGTTTTAAATGAATGAATGAATGGTTGGGCGAGAGAGAGAACCCTATTTTGTTAGCGCCTGAAGCATTAGTTGGTGTGACTGGCCAATTTATTCATTAGTTAGAAACTGAAACATTTCCTGATCATCCATTGTGTAAATATATAGTTAGCTCTGCTGCTAATGATTATGTATGGATGTGGATTGTGTTAGTAAGGTAGACTCCCTTTAATTGGCATGACAGCAGAAACACAAGGTAGGTTTCTGTAGGTTATACTTCCCACTATGACACCTAACGGGACGCGGGTGGCGCTCTGGGTTAAACCACTGAGCCTAGGACTTGCCAATCAGGTCCCTGCTCCTGCCAACTAGCAGTTTGAAAGCACGTCAAAGTGCAAGTAGATAAATAGGTACCACTCTAGAAGCAGCTTAGTCATGCTGGCCAAATGACCCGGAAGCTGTAAAGCCAGTAAAGCGATATGAGCGCCACAACCCCAGAGTCAGCCACAACTGGACCTAATGGTCAGGGGTCCCTTTGCCTTTACTTATGACACCTAACAGTTGGTGATCATCAAATTCAGTGTCCATGTTGAAAGGGAACCATTGATTTTTCTTAATTTTCCCTTTCCTTCTCCAGGGTAGATAGAGGTCTCACTATAATCTCTTCTTCTGTTTGTAGCTCAGCATTCACAGGCTGTACTTCAGAAAGCCAAGAGGATTACCATCACCTCTACCTGCAGATCATCAGCTTCTTGAAGAGCCTGTTTTTTGCTAACACACAACCATCCCAGGTAGGACTTTGCAAAGTGCTTGTTATAAGGCTGCCCACCCCACCTCCACACCCCAAATATAAACTTGCAGGTAATGTTAGGACCGCCCGTTGTGTTCACTGCAAGTAGGTTAAATTAATGCACCATTTGAAGGCCTTTTTCAGAATGTCTTGCATATATTTCAAAGCTAATTGGGTGCAACAGCAATTTTCACTTCACGTTTGCCTGTTTGTCTTTCAGGCAGTCTTTCAATTGAAACATGAGGGTATACCTAACTGCTCTTGGCGATTCAGGTCGTGGGTGAACAGGGCTTTCACAGGGGCAGGTGCCCTATTACAGAACTACTATCCCCAGGGTGCAGCATTTGCCTGTAGAGTGCTTGTTGTTGTGGAAGTCCAAACTGTCTGTGTTTGATACATCGACAGCAGACTCATATAATCTGGATGTAGATCTTCTATACAGTATAGCCCTAACAGCAGCATCTATGCACAAGAGAGTTCATTTAAGACTGAGCCTGCTGATGAAGGAAAACAGAAAAGGGGGAAGGGAGAATAGAACAGAGAATCCTGAAGAGGAGCACCACTGGCTGGTACTCTAAGCAGTTGCACTGTATACACTATAACATTTTGTGTCCTTGCTGTGAATCCTTCTTTTCTATCTGGCTTAATGCAGCAGGAACCAAAGAGGAGGCAGAAGCCAGAAGCCAGCACCAGCTTTGCAAGGATTCTTCCAAGTGCCCCAGGGAGAAGCAGCAGCTTGGGGGTGCAGGAAGTAGTGGGACAGACTATTCATAAGGCTGAGAAGGAAAGAGAAAAGAAGCTGTGAGCAGCAAATGCCCTGTGCAGTGAGATTAATGATTATGGGTCTCTAGCTGTTTTTGGACTACAACTCCCATCACCCGTAGCTAGCAGGACCAGCGGTTGGGGATGATGGGATTTATAGTCCAAAAACAGCTGGAGTCCCAAGTTTGAAAAGCCCTGGATTAGAGCATAGAAGCAGTACAGATGGATGATAAAAGCCATTTCCTCTGGACAGGAGATCCTGGGAGCTGTAGTTTTGTAAAGGGGGCCTGGGTATCCTGAGTAAATCTCAGCACCCTCACCAGACTAAAATTATATGACTCATCTGCAGGCTGATGATGACTAAGACTGTCCATCCCAGTCCAACTCATTCATAACAGTAGAAGAGAGATAACTGCAAAGTTTAATTGGGCAGGAATAGCAGGTTTCTAGTTGAGAGATGATGGGCTGAACAGGAAGAAGTAGGAGGACTTGTTTACTTTTTTTAAAAAAGAAACAGTGGCACCCAGTTTCTTTTTTACATAACTGCAGGAGAATACGCATCAATGAAGAGAAATGTGCAGCTAGGATAACTGGTTTCAGCCACAGCTTTTGTCCTTGCTTAACGCCATATCCATTAAATGCTTCACATTATCCCTAGAGACCAGGATGAGGTGTCAACACAAAGTTCTTCAGGGCTGGGCACATGCATTAAAGTCTGTGACACTATTATCTCTGAACAATATAAGAAGGGCTGCTTGTAATGATACTGCGTGTATCCTATATTTACAACAGCAACAAATCACACAGTTTTCCATCAGTGTGGAGCAGGTAGAGAAGGCCCAACTGCAATGATCAAAAGACTTAGAACCACTTTTTGTTTTTAAGAAAGTGGCTGGAACTCTAGAATGTTGAAATGTGGCTGTCATGATGTGGCACAGTGATGAAACTTTACAGAACTATGAATCGTAGAGGGAGAGCAAACAGAGTAAAAAATACTCGTTCTCAAAATACTAGAACTTGGGGCCATTCACCAAAATTGCTTTAGCACCCATTGCTTAGGCATTCCATGTCTGGAGTTAGTATGGTTCAGATTAACCAGGTTTGGCTATTTCTGTTGTACTTTGCTGGGTTAAATGGACATTTGCTCTTATCCTTCAAGGCAGTTTGAACTGCATCCATTTTCTTCCTTTCTGTTTTTGTGGCACCCTTTCCACTTTTGAAAGGAAAAGGTATTGTTCCGTTTAAAGCAAGAAATGGCTAGCAGAGCTCTTGTTCTTTCTCCTTGTGTGCATGCCCAGCTAACTTAACTCGGCTAACATTTGCTTCACCTCCCCAAAGCTGCCATGTGTGGGTTGGGTAGAAGTGAAGTAATGACAGGTGTGCCCATCAAAATCAACAATTATAAACGTTTTGCTGAGTGGCAGACTTTGAGCTGCTTCATCCAACGAATCAGCTTGTCCCAGAGCTCACTTTTTAAATTAAATAACGGGAACATTTAAACTTCATTGGTATGTGGGAAGGGGGAACCCCGCCGGAAGTGAGTAACTAGATTTTGCTAGGATAGGGATGGGAGATCTGCAGACCTTCCAATGTTATTGGACACCCAGCTTCCATCAGCTTGTCAGGGCTGGAGCCTGACCACATCTGGAGGGCCCCAAGCCAGCTACCCCTGTTCTAGAGAAAGAATATTTATTTACCTGTTTTGCTAATGCCATTCACTGCTAATAAGAACTTTATCCCTCTCCCCCTGCGTATGTTTGACAGGAAGAGGTTCTCCAGCTGGATTATGAGACTGTGATGCTGAGATGCACAGAGACATTTGATGACGAAGATTTGTAAATTAAGATGGTTCTATTAAGCATGTGGGGGGTGGGGTCCTAATTGTTACTTAATGACACCCCTCAGCCTATGCCACCATGAGAAGAGATGCTTCAATTTCTTGGTGTTCATCATGTTTAAACGAGTTCTGTTTGTTTATACTACATAATTCTTCATCAGTTAAATTATTTGTACTTTTTACATGTATTGCAGTTTGATATTTATAAAGTTAAAATTTTTAAAAAAGAAGTACGTCTGAAATTTGGTGCTGAGAAGTGCAAAACAAGACAGGTTGGGAAGAAATAGCCATCATTTCTACTCACAGCATATAGGGTGATGCAACAACTCCCCCCTGGAGAAAGGTTGCAGCATTTGGGACTTTTTAGTTTAGAGAAAAAGTGAGTAACAGGTAGCATGACAGAAGTTGGTAAGATTGTGGGTGGCATGGAGAAAATGGCTAGAGAAAAGTTTTTCTCCTTGAAACACTGGAACTTGGGGACATCCCATATTGGAAGATTCAGGACAGAAAAAAGGAAGCACTTCTTCACACAGTACATAGCAAAACTATGGAACTTATTCCCACAGGAGGCAGGGATGGCCACCAACTCAGAATTCGTGGAGGATCTGCTACGGATGGCTACTAGCCGTGATGGCTGTGCCCCCACAGAGGCAGTAATACCAGTTGCTGGAAACCACAGGAGGACAGAGTGCTCTTAGCTCTCACATCAATGAGACTTCAGTTTGTTTGTGCTAGTGCACACACCAGGGGTGTTGATGGCTGGGGATGTCTACCCAAAGGTGTCCACACGTTGAGTAGAGACAAATTAGGCAACGCATTAAACTGCAGCATCTTACAGCCAAGTACAGGATACATATGCAGTAAGCAGGAGTGTGAACACAGCCTCAAGGAGGCAGCAAATTTCCTACACATGTATACACACTGCAGCGAATATGCTGCCTGATTTCAGCAAAGACGCAATATTTGAAAACCAGCTGCTATCAATATCTGCAAATGTCAGGGATGGTGGTAGTTCAGTCACATCCAAAGGGCACTAGTCTGGGGAATACTGGATCTTACTTCTCCATTAGGAAGACAGCAAAATATGGGGTGGTTTCTGCCAAGTAAAAACACTTGTAACAACAACAAAAAATCATGATTTATTTATTTTTCAGTACAGAGTTTGCTTGTGTACAGAGCATTTTTTTCATACAAGATTGTCAAATCCACAATATAGGATAATCTGTTTTAATGGCACATTGAGAAGGTGAAATTAAAAGCATGCAAATTGGGTGGGGTAGAGCTTGTTAATACAGGGTTAACACTTCACCCACAGTGTTGTATACAAAAAGTGGTTTGAAGTGGTAAAAAGTGTCGCCCAACTAAGTTTTAATCTCTTAATTACACGGTTGGTTAAATTTGCACACACTAGCATGAGGATAAAATAATCGCTTTGAAGAAAAATGCTTGTCTTCAAAATTTAGATAATGTGCACAGCAGATGCCATCTTAGGAAAGATGATAGCTTGAGTCCTAGCTTCCCAAGAATAGAACAGAGTTCATGTTCACAGAACAAGGCTTTCCTGCATGGGCATAGCCAGAATTTTTGTGGGGGAGGCAGGCTTTTGTTGAGGGGGCAGAACCTCCAATTTGTATTGATTTTAATTATGGGGGGGCAGCTGCCCTCCTGCACGCCATGCTTTCCTGCCTCTGCCCCCCCCCCCCCCAAGATCTGCTCCTTAGGACTGATAGACCCTTGAAAATGGCCTGGACTTTGGTACAGAGGGCTGTCGATGGAGGCGGCTTTGACAGAAACCACCCTCTCCCACCCCCTTACAAGAATGGAGGAGCAACTTGGGAGCCAAGGATTTGTCTTGTGTGCGAGAGAGGATGAGTGCTGTACCCAAGATGCTTTTATGTGCCACCCGAGGTGTTTTGCAAATACTTCTATTAAAAAATAAAAGTTGCTGCTGGGTTGATTTTAAGAGGTACAGTAATTTTAAAAAACCTGTCACCAACTGGCATACTGTAGAATGGGAGCTTCTGATCCCTATGTGACTGGTGGCCCTCATTCAAAAGTGCACACATGCAACAGCTAGCCTTGTAAGCAGTAGGGACTTCATGTATCTGTTCCGCATGTGGTAGAACTGAATCCTTCCATCCTCCAGCTGAGCTGACAGATTGCATCTGCTGTTCCTGGAGCAGACCAGAAAATCCACACCTGCAGTTTCCCATCAGCCAATGGTTTATAGGCGTCGTGGTTCAATAACAATTGGAGGGCCACAAATTCAGCCACCGCTGAACTAAGCATATGTAAGCAAAATCCCATGACAGAGTCAGGACAACTGAACACATGGAGCAAGCATATATCATTACAAATACAATCTTATGTAAGACCTTGTGTAGGGCATCTTAAGTGGCTGATACCGAGAAACCACATAAAAACACCCATGTAAGAGCAAAGGATAGAAAGGTAGGCAGGAAACTTAGTCACAGCCCATGCTGATGTTAAAGCTTATCAGACACTACCACACAGTAGGAGAAGAATGGGGCATGCACCGTGCAAGCTTGTGACTAACACAAACAAACTCTTTTGTCAAAAGAGCAATTAAAATACTTTTGTCTGCGGCTCAGGTGTAGTAGGATAATTTGTATACAGCTCTTGCCCAGTAAAATGCACAGTGTTTTCAGGTAAATACCAAGTGAGTGTAGATGGGATTGTGAAAGCCTGAACATGGGGAGAAATTGAGGAAGGATCAGCAAAGTGGAAATGGAGAGCTGTGCAGATAGGAGGCAACGGCAAAAGAGCTCTGTAGTATGAACAGATAGGCAGAAATGGAAAGAAACAACACATAAGTGTAAAGGAAATTCATCCTGTCTGGCCTAAAAATACCAGATATGTATTTGGGGCATATTTTGAGCAAGGAGAATTTCAACAGAAATAGAGAACGGCCCTAAGAATTTGGCAGAGGCACAGAGTTTTATTTGGGCCTCAACACTGTATAGGAGAGTCATCCCAGTAGTCACCAGAATGAAACTTGGCTTTCCAAAAGTTTTTTCAAAAAAGGTGAATGTGAATGCCCTAGTCTTAGTCTACCACAATTAAAGCTTTGTGTATCTTAGACAGAAGGCCCTTTGGGATAATGCCAACAGTAAACCTAAGAGGTCTCTTGTTATATACACACAGGAAGATGATCAAGAGTCCATCCCTGAGGAAAGTTTATTGAATCCTTCCTTTAGGATAGATTTAAAAAACAAAGTACAACATTTTATGAATATAATCAAGATCAAGCATATCTTGTTCTGTGTGGCTTCTCACATGGAAGTCACTGACTTCCATGAAAGCCTAAAAGCAGCTTAGAACTATTTTATAGACTTTGGAAGCCCCAGTTTAATTCAGGAGCCTGTTGTAGCAAACAACACAGGTGTTGTTGAACTACAACTCCCGACGTTACTGACCACTGGCCATGTTGGCTAATGGAGTCCAACAACATTTGACGGCCCACAGGTTCCCCATACTTATGGACTCAACAAAGCCGAAGACTAAAAGGTGTGGGAGCAACAAAGTATTGTGATACACACATTAAGCAGTCTGGCCAACTGAACATGATCAGAGACAAAAGCTGAGGCTGGATTTAAGGAAGCCTAGGACAGCAGCTTTGCTCCTTGGAACTAGCTTGTCTAGTTACTCAGAAACTCAAGAACCACGGATTCAATTTTCAGGAAAAGAGTTTCCCACGGTAGACAGGAAAACAATTTCTTGTCTTGGGTGCTGCTGGGCTCCCTAGCCAGGCTGTCCCTCAAACTGGCACTGTATTCTTGCAGCAGAGAAATTGGCACACATGGCCAATTTGCACTGATGGCAAATTATGGAGTCGTTTGCCAGAACTTAGTCTCTTGCTACAGCCACAGTCTCGTTGATAAGAAACCAGAAAAAAGGAAGATGTTGCTTCAATGGCTTAGCAAGTCAAGTTTGTTTACTGATGCAGTCTTATATTCTCGTGTCGATGTTTATTTCTGTGTCCTTTTCTGAATTAAATTTGCTTTTGTTCTCCTGTGCATAATTATTGCGCTCCTTTGCATTGTTTCTGGCTGGCCGCTTTGGGCACATTGGGAGGTACTGAAACCAGTCAGCAGCACAGAACTTAGAACCTATTCCGAAGGGTAGATCATAGACATCCGAGGTGTTCACAGTATCGTCAGATTCCGCCTTATAACCCTCTTTCCATGCCAGGAGTCCCCGCTCTTCCAAGCTCCCTACCAAAGGAAAACAGAATTGTTAGCAGAGACTAATAGAAAAGGGCATCCTATAGAGTGCCACAAAAAGTATGAATCTCACATAAACACAAACACAACAGTCATTTTAGAGTATAAGAAAAAATAGAAGCCATTCACAATAAGCATCAGTTCTTGCAACACAACTTCCCAGTTATAACAAAAATATGAAAAGTGTCAGGAATGTAACTCTCATACTCTTTTTGAATATGGGTAAAATGCAAGGCACGGTGTAATGACTGAAGTATACTGAATATATTATAAACACAAGCTCTGTCATGCTAATTGCCACTATAAACCTGTAAAGTGGTTTTGACTGTGACTTTCTGCTACAAAAAGCAAAACATGAGTGCAGTTTTGCCCTCAGAACCCACAAGGCTTGCCCTAAAAAGAAACCTCCCTGATCCCAATCTGTGTAGCGGCCACACCCTCGGCCTCCTCAAATCAAAACACTGAGGACAATTGTACTGAATCAGCAGAGTGCTTTCAGGGACAGCACAGCACCTGACACAGCTGCAAAAGCCTGGCAAGGCCTGCCAATGTTTCCCGCCATTTTCTCCCCAGTCTAGTGATCTGAGAGGCACCAGGTGGCTGAGTATAGCTGCCATTTTAATTTCCCACAATGCCCCTGGCATAGCATTGCTCAGGATACTCCCCACCCTCACGGCTACTGTTGACATTCATGATCCACTACAGAAAGTTATCTGGGTGGGGTGGCAGTGGCCAAATAAGACGCTGAAAGCAGGTTAGTTGGTCACAAAAATACCTGTCCATTTTGCCTCCTCTCTCATGTTCTACAAATGCTAGAAACTTACTCTTAAATATATATATGAAAGCTTGAAATCTGCGGAATATTGTTCATCCAGGGGCCAGAGGACAGGGATTGACTGCCCTAACGATGGACGCCCCATGACCACACAAAAGTCCCCCCTCCCAAACCTGGAGTTGGCTCCTTTAAATTTTACTCCAGCTGTGTTGAGAGCGGCTCTCTTGTAGGGTAACTTTTAAATGACCCAGCCAAGCATTGGGAAGCCAACTGCATGATTAGTTTTCCCCAAGGAACTAGCACTCTGCTCCCAATATGTTGCTGACTCGGTGGTCAGGGCCTACGCCTGCATGTGGTTGGGTCATTTAAACATGACCCAGCCACGTCAGAGCCTCTCATGGAAAAACAGGTTCTCCTCTGTTAAGCTAATGTTTTAAGAGCTCCAGTGTTTCTGATTCAGAGGCAGTGGCTAGAAAGCTAAAGATCTCTGGGTTTTTAAAGCCATCAGGACTGGAGCTCAGATTTATTCTGAAAATGACCTGGGGCCCCAAAACTCTGGCAACCAAAGGCAGACATACCTGTGCAACTGCGCATTAGCAATGAACACTAGAATATAGTTAAGGAAGCTGGGATATTATTATAATTCCTACCTGGAATAGTGTTATCGAGGATAAAGCCCAGGAATCCCCCAACAAACATGCCTGTGGTGAGCAGCACATTGATTACTTGGTCCAGTTGTTGAATTCCTAGAAACAGAATCCACTTGTCAAACAAACAATCCAAACAAATAAGAAACCCCAACAAGTCCCTACAGCTCATGATGGAAGTCATTTTTTAAAAGTGTTGTTTTTGTTCTGGGTTCAAAAGTGTATATTTACCTAAATATTCTGTCCAACAAACAATATTCTGTTTAACAGACAGATGCCCTGGAACTGGGCACAACAGGGAAGCTATCACATACAGTGGTACCTCGGGTTACATACACCATGCTTTCGAACTGTTAGGTTGGCAGGAGCTGGGACCAAACAATGGGAGCTCACCCCATCGCAGGGATTCGAACTGCCGACCTTTCAATCAGCAAGCCCAAGCAGCACAGTGGTTTAACCCACGGTGCCACCCACGTCCCTCTTCTTTTAGATACCTGATATCTATTAGATACCTTATATCTATTGTTCTGATATCTATTGTAAGTCGCTTTGGGCATGGTACACTGTGGGAAAGGAATGTATAAATTAAATTAAAATAAGCTAAAACAAAAGTCTTCATATTTTAACCCATTGGACCCAAACTACAGATTCCATACACTTTAACTGGCTGCACAAACATGGATTTGCATGTATGTCTCCACCCAAAAAAGATGGTTGGCATAGTCAGCTTTGATAATGCTGTTAAGTGAATTTGGAGGATGACGGCTACAAACATGTGACTGGAACAGTTATCATCTGGCATCTTAAGGCAAAAACCACTTGCAGCAGATGAGAAACCACCTACGGCAGCTTCTTAGCATGAGCACTGTATCTGTCAAAGTCCAGTCATTCAAATACATGAGATCTAAGGTAAGGGACCCCTGGACAGTTAAGGCAAATATGGGGTGCGGCACTCATCTTGCTTCAGGCTGAGGGAGCTGGTGTTTGACCACAGACAGCTTTCCAGGTCATGTGGCCAGGATGGCTAAACAGCTTCTGGTGCATCAGAACACTGTGACAGAAACCAGAGAGTATGGAAATGCCGTTTACCTTCCCGCCACAGCAGTACCTATTTATCTACTTGCACTGGTGTGCTTTCGAACTCCTGGGTTGGCAGAAGCAATGTAACTGAAACCACAGTGTGGGCAGAAGTTAATTATGGGAACCACATCCCAATTTTTGTGGGTTACATTTCTAATTCATTTTCTGTTGACATCAGGCAAAAAAACAAAATATAATAAAACAACATTCACCTGTTTCCACCAATTCTGAATTTTTCTGCACCCAGAATGGAACCGTCAGACCCGCAAATATAGAAAATCCAAAAATGAAAAGGTTTCTTGAAGAGTTCATATCTGTATACTGAATAAAGAGGAGATGGTCTTTAGAGGGAAAACAAATGGATACCACAATATCCATTAATTTCACCAGCTATTTTTGGTATGTAGACAATGTAGCATTGCTGATTCTTTATTATTCCATCTGTGTGCATAGTGCTTTACTGAGTATAAGAGGGCAAGTCCATACACCAAAGGGCTTATACTCTAAAATTCAACACAAGGGAAACAGAATAAGGAAAGCCCAGGGAAAATAGGGAAGCAATATGTGGTGGTTTCAGATGCACATGCTTAGGCTTAGCTACACGTTGAGTTACAGTAGGGCAAGAGTTGCCAACCGGGTGCCCACAGGCACCATGGTGCCCTTGAAGGTTTTCATCAGTGCCCCTGAGCAGGTGTCGCAGACTCTGAGCTCAGACAGAGAAAGAGCCATGAGACAGTGACAGACGCAGGCAGAAGAAAAAGGCTGGAAGAGATCTGCAGCTTCTGTTTCTGCTTACATCTGTCTCTGGAAGTGGCGGGACATGGGATCTGGGTTGCTACGCTGTGCTCTCCTCCTCACCAGAATCCCCAGGTTTTTTTAAAAAAAAACATTAGGATGTGTTCAGCACACCCTGTGCATGCCTATTTGTATAACATAGTAATATTAAATATTTCAGGGCAATATAGTCTTGAATATATTTCACAACTCGAAAGTTGATGGTATGAAAGAACTGAAATATGGCACACTTATGCTTTTATGGTACCCAAGACAATAAGTGAAGTAGTTGGATATTGCTTCAGTGCTGTTCTAAGAAGAATGCTTTAATTTGTTTTAGACTTATTTTAATCTGATAATAGACAAGTTTGGGCAAGCAGTCAAGCTGCTCTCTTTGGGTTTCTATAAAGCCATTAACACTACACTAGGGTGTTTACTTTTCAATATAAGATATGTAAGTATCCTTGATGAAAAAGAAAATGAATAATTTTCAAACAAAGATAAAGCCTTTGATAACGCTTTTTATGATAGCAATTTTATCTAACAATAAAATCTTCACCTTTTATCAGCTCGGAAAATCTCTTGTAATCTTTTCTATCAGATAATGATGTTGATAAAGGCAATCTATTCCGTTAGAAAGATGTCTCCTTGGTTTTAGGACACATTTCAACCTGCCGATTTATCCCATTTTTTAAAAGCAGTGTTAATGTTTAAACTTAATAGTTTTGTTTTATTTCTATTAAATATTGTAGTTTGAACACACCTGTACTTTTTAAAAGAAGTTAACTCATAGTTCATTGACACTTTTGGATTTGTTAATGATCTCAAATCATCTTCATCTTAAGGTCATGTTACCAGGTTCCTTCAACTTTCTGAAATGCTTCTCTACTTACAGTGAAAAATTATCCTTGGCATATATCTCACCGAAAATTGAAATTTTGTGAATTCCCATCCCCTCAATAACAACCCAATTCATTGTCTTTCATAAACTGTAACTATCCCATCTGTGCAACTAGCAGTCTTAACAATTTGCAATCCTTGCCTATCATCTCAGCTGTAGACACACCAACCATGCAAAATAGGAAGAACTACTTATTACATCTTGTTACCCATCTGCAATGGTCCTTGATAACTTTCTTACCTGAAACACATTTAATATGAAATTTGTGCTATTCAATTATTTTTTAGCTGTCACAGATTATGTTTTTTCTTTAATGTAAGATGCCTTGATGGACTATATTTAGGCTAAGAGGCAGGATACAATAACTCACCCACACCATACATTTAAAGCACATACCCCACAAAGAATTGTGGGAACTGTAGTTTCCCCCTCACAGAGCTACAGTCCTAAGCAGCCTTAAACTACAGTTCCCAGGATTTGTAGGGGGCTAGGGGGTGAGCCATGTGCTTTAAAATGTTTGGTGTGGATGTCAGATTAGCATTTGAGTGCTGAGGATCTCAAGAGAAACTGAAACTGCGCACAAATGGCTCCTCCTCACCTATGCAGAACTAAATTGATTTTTGAAGCAAAACTCTCACCTGTAAATTGGAAACTCCCACAGCCGTGATGATGCCAAACATCACAAAAAACATTCCTCCAATGATGGGAGTTGGAATGCTGGCAAATATAGCTCCAACCTTGCCAAACATACCAGTCAAAAGCATAACGCAGCCCCCAGCCACAATGACCATTCTACTCCCGACCTGTGTTGAGAAGAACAGAAGAAAATTAAAAGCCCCCACAAAAGGACAAAGAAAATGATATGGATATGTTTCAGAGCTCTGTCAGTGCTGACAGTAGGGCTTTGGTTAATTAGCTCATGTTGCCTCCTACAGCGGTGCTCATTTTTTAGGGTGGAAGGTAGGACCTTGCCCTTATTAATATGTTGCTGAATAAGCATACTATTGAGTTTGTTCACTGTTTTATTTTTCCAGGTCTTAAATGGCTTTTACATGTTGTATTTTACCTTGTCAAGCCGCTTTGAGGCTTTTTACTGAGTAAATGCTCTGATAAATGTAATAACTAATAATAATAGCTATGTTATCAGATAAGATTACAGTAAGACTCAATAGCCAAGCCAGGTGTTTTTTATACCAATGGAAATACAGCCTTTCTGGTTGTTCCATGGATTTTCCTGTTAAAGATGCTTTCTTTTTATAGTGTTCCATGTTCTATTAATAAATACTTATAAGAGGTGTTAACAATATTCCCTTTAAATGCTCTAAATGACAATAAGGTAAAGGTAAAGGTACCCCTGCCCGTACGGGCCAGTCTTGCCAGACTCTAGGGTTGTGCGCTCATCTCACTCTATAGGCCGGGAGCCAGCGCTGTCCGCAGACACTTCTGGGTCACGTGGCCAGCGTGACGAAGCTGCTCTGGCGAACTGGCACCAGAGCAGCACACGGAACGCCGTTTACCTTCCCACTGGTAAGCGGTCCCTATTTATCTACTTGCACCCGGGGGTGCTTTCGAACTGCTAGGTGGGCAGGAGCTGGGACCGAACAACAGGAGCGCACCCCGCCGCGGGGATTCGAACCGCCGACCATGCGATCGGCAAGTCCTAGGCGCTGAGGTTTTACCCACAGTGCCACCCGCGTTCCCTAAATGACAATAGCAGATATTAAACATAGCATCAGGTGGGCATGGTTTGTGGGAAACAGACCTGTGGGGCAGAGGTTCCCCTCACCCTTGTTCTTTCTATAACCTATAGAACATTAATAAACTTTCTGAAGGTAATCATATTACTGCACACCTTGATTTCTGATAATATACTGCCACGGAAAGGACTAAAATGTTGTGGCTCATTAGAGAGAAAAGCTAACCCTCTGAATGAGGTAAGTCTACACGGAGCAACAGGCTGCTTGGAAGGACTCTTCAGCACAGCAATCCAGCAAACGTGCTCATTTAGAAGCTTAGCAGAGCTTGTGCTAGTGCCTCAAGCATAGGGCAGCAAGATGGCGCCTAGCCCCATTAACTTTCTCTTTCATTCCCCTTCGCTACACTTTTTACAAAGACCACAATGTGAGTGTTGAGCCTGTTTGCCGCTGCTGATCTCCTCCTGCAGTGTGCAGATCCAGGGGAGTATTGGGGGATTCTCAGGGTATGCTCTCAGTTCGGATGTGCCAATGGTGTGTGTGGCCTGGCCAATGCCCTACACACAAACTGAATGTTTACTCTAGAAAATTCCCCAGAATCCTCTGCAAAGCACAGGATTCCCACAGCAGATGCTCTCAGTGTTGCTCAGCAGACAACCTAATGTGGAAAGAGTTCCCTGGCATTAGAACGGTTGGGAAGATACTATCCCTGCATAGCCCACGTTTGTTTTAAGACAGGCACCCCCAACATACGGCCCTCCAGATGTTTTGGCCTACAACTCCCATGATTCCTAGCTAACAGGACCAGTGGTCAGGGATGATGGGAATTGTAGTCCAAAACATCTGGAGGGCCAAAGGTTGGGGGTGCCTGTTTTAAGAGCACATGTGTGGCTGCCTCTTCTGCAAAAATGCTGGCACTTTGCTGCAGTGGAATTCAATTTATCGTACTGAAATCAGACTTACCCGAGTGATCCCCAAAGCACCCACGTTTTCACTGTACGAAGTGGTGCCATTTCCTGTCCCCCAGGCTCCTGCCAGAAGGCAGCCAATCCCCTCCACTCCAATTCCACGGTTGATTGCGTGCTTGGGAGGAGGTGGAGCACCAGATAAACGAGCACAGGCATAGTAATCTCCTACTGACTCCACCATGGAGGAGATCACTCCAGCTATGATGCCAAAAATCCCGGCCAAGCTAATGGTTGGAACTCCCCATTGACCTGTGTGTCGCAAACACAAAAACAAAGTGTCCATGTTGAGACTGTGGATCTGAGGCTGGTGAAGCTCACCAGCATAAGTAGCTAAAACTTCTCGAGATGTTGTTGAATGTTGGAGCCAAAGGAACTGTTATTTTGCCGATTACAATTATTAACAGGACAACAATTAGGACTGTTTTGCAGGCGATAACCACCACATGGGAAGCTACTTTAACTTGCTCGACATATCAGTCATTACATGGTGTATCATTCAAGTACGAACTTGAACATGTTGTCCCTCACATTTTCCCAAGTGGAAGCTGTCGCCAAGGATGGACTATTTGCGTGCAATGTCTCACTATGGAAGAGTGGCTGTTGCCTAAATCAGAAGTGCCTGGAACGAGGATCAGTCCTGTCAGTTGTGTTCTTGCATATCCACCTCTACCTGCTTCCAAGTCAACTCCTAGACAATCTTGCTGCTCCAAAATTTTACCCCCCAAAAAGGTTGCATCCCTGTATAGGATGGGCAGCTATGCCACTGTAACATGGGTGTAGCCAGGATTTATGCTGGGGCGGGGCAAGACACCCACCTGTCATCATCCTCTCTCTGGCTCTGTCTAGCAGATTCAGAACGAAATGTCTCCACAACTGTTGTTTTAAATTACTTTCTTTTGACCTCAAGTGCTCAGAAAAATCTGTCAAATCTTTCTACAATTTCTACTTTTAGTTAAGTATTTTTATTTATTTATTAACTTGATTGGGGGAGGGGGACAGCTGATTCCTCCTGGCTATGCCCACACACTGTAATAAATACCCAATTATTGTTTGAAACATAGTCTTAAACACATTGGCAGAATCAACAGACTGTTACCAGTACAGTGGTACCTCGGTTTAAGTACTTAATTCGTTCCGGAGGTCCGTACTTAACCTGAAACTGTTCTTAACCTGAAACACCACTTTAGCTAATGGAGCCTCCTGCTGCCGCCGCACTGCTAGAGCACGAATTCTGTTCTCATCCTGAAGCAAAGTTCTTAACCCGAGGTACTATTTCTGGGTTAGCAGAGTCTGTAACCTGAAGCGTATGTAACCTGAAGCGTATGTAACCTGAAGTGTATGTAACCTGAGGTACCACTGTACTGTTAACAATGAAGCCCTTTTGTCTGAAGAAGACCATATTAACATTAATCTGAAATCAACTAATAAAGAGAACCAAGAAGTTGATTAATGTTTTCACTCCCAATGGGGAGGCAAAAAATCAGCAACATTACGGCATGACAATACCTGGGTAAGGAAACCGAAACCAGGGAGCTTGTGAAAGAACATCCCCTTTGCTGTCAGTCCGAGCTTTGTAGCCATAAGCAAGTGGGTCCGAAGGGAACACATTGGTGATGGTAAGTATAAAACAGAGAAGCCAAGTAAGTGTGAGGCCAAACAGCACCTAATCAGTTACAGAAGACAATGAATCTTTGTTAGTGGCAGGACTCGCTCCTACAGACTAGAAGTTGTATAGTTCAACAGTATTTCCCATTACATTTGCAAAGAGCATCAAAGAAATGTAGTTGTGGTATAGCTACTCAATCATAACAAAAACCACCAAATCCCCACTCAAATAAAGGCAAGTTGGTAAGACACAGCGCGAAACAATTGGCAATCTTCCTCTACAGCTGGCTTATTTCATTGCCAACGAACAAGTGGAAGTCAATGCAATTCGTTAGGTGACTGAAATGAAGCACGCTTTCGTTTTATTTTAGTCTACCTGCTGTGGTCTATCTGGTCACCAAAAGTTCAAAGGGGTTAACTCACAGGGAAAATCTGGAAGAGGTAGATCTTGGAGAAGTGGCATCTCTTGCTTGTGCTGTAAGATGGCACCGGAACAGGGACGTTTTTCAGGTACTGAGAGAACAGAACTATGAAGAATATGGTTCTGAGGTGGAAAAGAAAGTTAAGAAAAAGTTGTTTATGTTTTATGTTGACTTGGAGGTCCTGATTCAGAACTTAAGGGAGTATTTATACAGGAACAAATACAAACATTTGTGCCACTTGTATGCTTGCGTTGAACTTATTCAGATATTGGGGCACCATGTTCCTACTACACTGACTTTTCACAACCATGTTTATTACACTGTTTTTCCTACACTATTGTATGGGATCGTCTTCATTTACTGAGATACCAACGGTCCTGAATCACCTTACAAAATTCCACAAACCTCAGTGCAAGTTACAAACAGAGACAAGCATCTGATATCAAAGTTCTCATGACTGGATTTTTCTGTTTTCCAAAATACCTATTTTAGGCTGGGATCCTAATATTTACATGCAAGCAGACCTTACTTAATTCACTGGAATTTACTTTGATCTGAGCTGATATGCAAAGCAGTGGATTGCATTGTTAATCTGCTGTTGTGTATGTCGTGCATTTGTATTTTCTGATTATTGTGCATTGTTGTGTTTCATTAGTTTTATTGTGTTTGTAAATCTTGTAAGCCACTTTGTGTCCTGTGACAGAAAAGCAGGGTAAAAAAAACAAAACAAAACAACAACAGTTGATTCAAGCAGCTTTGTTTCAAGCGATGTGCACTTATTAGTATTCCACACTTAGAAACAGATGAAAAGCTCATTGTAAAAATTAGAGGATCAAGCCTATTCAATGCCTTGAAGAATAAATCTACATGTGAGCATAAAGCACATGCCATGAAAGGAGTGTGACTGAAACGAGGCATGGAACTAACAACAGAAATTGGGAATTTCATTATTTTGCCCAGTAAAGATGCATTGTTTCCAAGTAACTGTGACTTCGTCCCAGGTATGGATTATTTTACATTTGCTGGTTGATACAGATAGGGTGGAATCTAACTGATGGCCTAATAATAATAATAATAATAATAGACAAAAGTACAAAGATTCACAAAATGTTTAGGGGTATGCGTACCCTTGCATACCCCCAGAAAAAAGCACTGGGTATATGTTCTCTGTTTGCATCACATTCATCTTGGTATTAAAGGGAGGTAAAACTTACACGGCTGCTATACCCCAGTGTTGTCCTGCCTCTTCTCCTGCAGAGACAAAGAGAGGCAGTGCCACCAAGGAAATGGTTGGGGCAATTGTCAAAGGGCCAATGAACCTCAACAGAAATCCAATAAGACCAGAAAAACCAATAAAGATTTGGAAGCAGGAAGCTACCATGATTGCTCCCTGCAACTGAAACAGAGAAAGAAAAAAAACATTTCACAAATAAACTTCTGCAAGCTTTGTCTTTCAATATGCTTGGTTATTGTATCTTTAATAATACTTCCAACCAGTTTTCCCAGGACAGGTATTAAGCTAACTGACTTGTAATTTCCAGGACTGCCCCCTTGCCAATCTTTTTTTAAAATTGATGTTGCATTGCTACTTTCCAGTCCTCAAGTACAGAGACTGATCTGAGACACAAGTTACATATATTAGAGGATCAGCAATTGCACATTTGTGTTCTTTGATAGTTCTCAGGTGGTTGTTATCTGAACCCAGCAATTTGTCAGCTTTTACTCAGTCTATTAGGCCTATAACTTCATCTCTCACCACTACTATCTGCCTCAGTTCCTCAAATTCCCCTCCTGCAAAAGTTAGTTTTAGATTATCTTCCTCCTGCCTTCATGGTTGGAGGCAGTAATGCTGCTAAATACCAGTTGCTGGAGGTTTCCGTGGGCATCTGGGAAGCCACTGTGAGAAGAGGATGCTGGAATAGATGGACTATTGGCCTGATCCAGCAGGCTGTTCTTATGTTCTTACTTTCCATTGATTTTATTTTAATGTAGATTCTTTCCCTGCACATCAGCTTTTAATAGTGACATTGAAATTTCTACCATAACAAAATGTTTAAGTATTTAAGCTGCCATCTTGGTTAGTTTTAGATATGTGAGACATAATCATGTCCTCAACATCTCCCATGGTACTGTAGACTTTAATTATTACTGGAGAACAGGGAAATCTCCAGGTTTTGGAGGGCCCTTGGGCAAGATACCATTCATGCATGCCCAACTCAATGAATCTACCTCCTCACTGCAGCAAGTCCTGCTAGGATGTGGACCACTGGCAGATGCCCAACCATGCTGGCCTTTGGCACTGGCCCTGTTGGAAGACCATGGAAAGGAACTATGGGGAATAGAAACCATGCTGGTCCTCTAACATATGGACCCAGTCAAAGAGCAAGTAAAGTATAATCTCCCTGTGGCTGATCAAGAGAAGAATTGAAAGCAAAAGTGAAATTACCCTCTCCATAGCTATTGGAGAAGCTACATAAACTTGTAGGATATCCTACTATTCAGAACTAAACTTCAAGATATTCCTCCACATATATATGGAATGCCCAGTGGGTTACCTCTCGCATTCGTTCTTGCCAGGTCTCAACAAAGTCTGGAGAAGAAGTATCCAATGAGCTGGAATTTTGGGTCCACTCTGGGCACTTCCATCGGGGGAGAGAGAGCATAGCCAGCGTTGGAGTTAAGAAGGCAAAAGTCCCTCCTTGCAGGATAGGTAGCCTGTGTTCGGGATTGGAGGTAAGAATGGCACTGATGAGGGGGTTGCACTTTGTAGGTTTTTTGTAGATAAAACAGACTAAACAACAATGCAAATACAACCGCAGAAAATACATTTGAAGACCTTTAGCTAACTCTGCTGTCATAGAAATGGAAGAGGCTTGTCAACATGGTCTTTGCAGGCGCCGGTGTGCCTGCCTGTATTGCCAGTGGCGCCTTGTAAATGATTCAGTATAAATATTCATAATGGACCAAAGACTGTTCCATCTTCTTGTTCAGCTAATGCTTGTCCTAGCTCAGCCTGTTCTGTATTGAACAGGCCTACATTTCTTTGGGCACCCACTCTTTCTTCCATTCTGAGCAGAGGGGAGGTGCAAAGAGAGAGTGCAGCAATGGTTGATATAGGAGCCTTTTTATCCATTGATTGTGGGGAGGGGTGATGGGGTGGCATGCCTGCGCCATTTTGTAGCCTTCCCTATTTTTATATGTGGCAGTCATTTTGTATTGTGCCATGTCCCCTATGGGAGCCATTTTGTGTTATGCCACACATCCCTCAGCAGCCATTTTGTGACTGGAATCCGCTGCACTTTCTCAAAATTCCTGCTGTGCCCACAGATCCAAAGCAGTTCTCAAATACATCATTGGCTCTCAACCAGTGTGTTGACCTTACCTAAGGAAGATCACACCAGCAAACACCACAGTTGTCTACTAGAGAGAAACTGAGAAAGGGAAGGAGAAAGAGAAGAGACGAATGAATGAATGAGGAGCAGGAAAAGAAGGCCAGATTTCCATAGTAGTAAAGAAAAACATAGAAAGGCTATACTGTAAAGAAAAATATGATGCAAGGTGGAAGAAAATGGGGTCCATAAGGACTCCAGCCTAGATGATAACAACAAGAAATATGCAATCCATGAGCTCTTCAGAAGAGGGTGCTCCCGTACTACCTGTTCCTCGGGACATTCCTTTGCTGCTCAGTTCCTACGTATTATATTGAAACCAATAGGATCATATTTGTATTGAAACAAACAGGATCGATGCCCTAACGAAAAACATCAATGCAAAAGAAAAGTGGGGTGGGAGGGAATATACATTATCACATGAAAAATAACACACACGTGTTCATTTTGCAACACAAACAGGTGCCACAAAGTACTCCTGCAGGTAGCAATGGCTGCAATTATACTTGCAGGCTCCCCTTATGCCCCGCCCTGTAGGTGGCTTTGGAGTTTGCAGGCAGGCAGCAGGTACTTACACTTGCTTATGTAGGGGTAAACTCCAGTTATGAGGGGCAGATTACATGTTACCCAACAACAGCCATGTGCAGTGAAGCCTTGCAGTCAGTTCTGCCATTTAAAGCACCCTTAGGGAGAAGGCCATTTGCACAGTGCTTAAGCCATGGGTAGGCAAACTAAGGCCCGGGGGCTGGATCCAGCCCAATCACCTTCTAAATCCGGCCCACGGACGGTCCGGGAATCAGCATGTTTTTACATCAGTAGAATGTGTCCTTTTATTTAAAATGCATCTCTGGGTTATTTGTGGGGCATAGGAATTTGTTCATTTTTTCTTCAAAATATAGTCCGGCCCCCCACAAGGTCTGAGGGACAGTGGACCGGCCCCCTGCTGAAAAAGTTTGCTGACCCCCTGGCTTAAGCCTTCACTTCCCAGTGGCTTTCCCCTAAAAAAAAAATCCCCTTTCACCCGTATCACCCTTCATCTCAAACACATACATATAGAGTATCCAGGGCTGCAAAAGCAGCTGAGGAAGGAAGTTTCAGAAGAAAAAGTGATGATTAGCCGACAAAGGACCAAGTATTCCCTCCCTTCTTCTATGCAAATGCCAATACCTTGGAAACCAAGGTAGAAAACTGGTTCCATGCTTTTCTCTTTCTTCCGGATCTTTAGTATGGCAAGAACAGGAGTCTTCCTGTACTAGCCACTTAGAGCACGGTAACTTGTACAGCTGATTGCTGTTGAACTGTATCCACTGGTCTCCCATCAAGACAGTGTCATGGGAATTACAGATATAGTAAAATTAAACTTTGGAACTGTGTGTGAGGAGGGCTGGGTGAGTGAAGGTTGAAATGTGACGGCCGTGTCTGCAAGAAAATCATGAGAGAAGGACAGAACGACGTGTACCACAGGAGCTATTGCGTTAACCATGAAGGGCAAAGGAAGAAGGGAAAGATAAGAAGGTTGCTATGCCTTGTGATTAAACAAGTAGAAGGAAGTACTGTCATATATGGCCATCACTGCTGCTTTGCCTCCCTTTGCTTAAAGGTAAAGGTACCCCTGCCCGTACGGGCCAGTCGTGTCCGACTCTCGGGTTGCGCGCCCATCTCGCTTAAGAGGCCGGGGGCCAGCGCTGTCCGAAGACACTTCCGGGTCACGTGGCCAGCGTGACAAGCTGCATCTGGCGAGCCAGCACAGCACACGGAAACCCCGTTTACCTTCCCGCTAGTAAGCGGTCCCTATTTATCTACTTGCACCCGGGGGTGCTTTTGAACTGCTAGGTTGGCAGGCGCTGGGACCGAGCAACGGGAGTGCACCCCGCCGCGGGGATTCGAACCACCGACCATGCGATCGGCAAGTCCTAGGCGCTGAGGTTTTACCCACAGCGCCACCCGCGTCCCTTCCCTTTGCTTACAAGTGTATAAATGATTGTGCTTTTTTCATGTTGGTGGTGCCACCCATCAACTACTTGCTGGTTGAGGTTTTGCTGTGCTTTCTTTGCGACACTTAAATAAACGTCTTGTTAACTGACACAATTGGAGCCTGGATTTTACCGGCCGTCCAGGCTGAACCTACATGGTATTGAACTCCAATATTTCCCCAACAGCAGCACTTTCGATAGGGAGTTATCACATTTTCCCGCTGCTAGTCACAAGTCAATATATTTTGTTTTGGGGGAACAATGATTTGTTTCCCCAAGTATAGCATGAAACAGGGCTACACAGGTGTCATAAGCTGCTCCCTCTCACACCTTCCTTTATTTTGGTTTCTCAATCGTTGCAGTGGTTCGCTGGCTATGCTTTTAACCTAGGAACAGTTCAAGAGCTTGTACAAAGAATGGAGGCAGAGATCTGTGGCATCCAAAGTTTTGGCGATTTCTTGTCTTTCCTTAGACCCAGCATTGACCTCACCCAGCATTGACCTCACTAGTAAATTTGAATTATAAGACTATAAAGTATTTTGGCCCCCATGTTTGCATAGGTGTGCAGGGACAGTAATAACTCGTCCCCAGTGCAGCCAGTATTTGGAATGTTGCAAAGAAATCCCATCCAAAAAGTACATCCTCCACTTTGTAGGAGAAGCTAAGACCAAGGCAAACATGGTGACTCTAAGCATGACCAGATTTTTCAAGACAATCCTTTATCATCACCTTCCATATTTACATTGCCTTTTCCTGCACATCCAGCAATGCAGAAACGCATTAACTAAATAGACATGCCTGCTTCTCCGTCATCTTAATTGTCATTTACCGCTGTTTCACTGCTCTATGAGGTAAGTTATTTAATATTTGCCATCCTGGGAGTGTCTGTGGGCCTTTCCACAACGACATCACAATTTAAATAAGCCTCGGCAAAGTATATGTACCCAAGACTTCAAAGGCGTTTTAATATTTTATTTTATGAGCCACAGCTCACTAATTTCTTCTGGAAATAGTAACAGGCATATTGCTACCTGAGGCATTCATTAGCATCCATTATGCCCCTGAGCTCACTGTATCAGAGAGTTACTTGCACAGATCAGAGGTTACATCAGAGGCATTCCTAGAGGTGATCTGGGTGTGGAGGAAACAGATTCCTTAAAAGCTCCTGTTTCATTGGTAACCTTCCATTATATTGAAAGATATCATTATGATGTCTAAAAAATGTCAGTGGGCTAAGACAACTGAAGCCAACAGGAAGGCGCCTTGCTTTGTGTGTTTTAGAGCTGTAAATCATGGCTTCAGAACCTTCTGGAACTGTGAGTTCTTTCTTCTTTAATTACAACGAATGCCAGTGTGTGGCGTAATTTAGCTTAGCCATCAAGTTCACTGGCTGACCATTTCCTAGCTTAACCTACCTTACAAGGTTAAAATGAGTAACCACTGTGTGGAACTACCAATTTCAGCTCCTTGGAGAAAGGCCAGGATATAAATACATTTTTCTAAAAAAAAATAAACAATAAAATCCCTATTGAAATGAAGAACTTTAGACCAGGTCGAAGTGACTTATGTTGCAGCTGACCTTGCAGTATTGGCGATATTAACTGTGCCTAAATAAGAGACGGTGAACTTGTGGTCCTCCAGACATTGTCAGATTACAACTCCCATCATCCCTGATGGAACCCAACATCATCTGGAGGGCATCAGGTCCCCCATCCCTGACCTTAATTCTAATTTAAAAGGTTTCTACTTGGCTGTCTAGTCAGCTGTCTAGTTTCCCAATAAACTGAGCCATCAGTGTTAGGCCTGCCAAAGAAAGAGCTCATAAATCTAGAGGGGATAATCTCCCTGCCCTACCTACTATATCAGTGCTGACAGCAGCAGCAGCCTCTGCTTGAGGGTGGGTGGAACCATCTGGACTGAGCTGACTTCATCCCTGACTAATCTTCATCCTTGACTGATCCACAAGTCTTCAAGTGCTATGATGCCACAGTGCCTAGAGAGTAGTATTCTCCAACTTGGTGGCCTCCAGATATTTTGGACCCCCATCAGCCCCAGCCATCATCTAGAAAGCACCAGGTTGGGAAACGATGTCAAGTGATTTGTTAGAAGGCCGGAAGGGACAGATCTATTTGCTTCCAGAGCTTATCAGTACTCACAGTGCAGCTCCTGCTGGAACTGAAGGCAGCTGCTTTATACAGAGTCAGACCAATTAATCATCTAGGTCTGTATTGTCTACACACTGACAGGCAGCGGCTCTGTGGGGTTTCAGACAGGGCTTTCTCCAGCCCTACCTGGAAATGCCCAGGATTGAAACGGTGGCCTTACCAATCCAAAACATGAGCTACCCACTGAACTGTGGCCCTTCATCCAGTTGCTCCTTTGTCCCAGCAAATTATCAGTGATATGACAACACAGCTTTTAGGGCTGTACTCGCAGTACTGCTCAATTATTATTATTTAAAAGTAGGAGCCACCTGTAAATTTACCTCAACCTTTTGGGACCAACTCTCCAGATGTTACACTACAACTCCCATAATTCCTGACAATTGGTCATGTTTGCTGAGACTGATGGGAATTTGAGTCCAACAACATTACGTGGGGCTACCCTTGGATCTGGTTCAGAGGCTCAAGCAAAATGCTGCAGATGGAGAGTTGCTGAGGCTAAAAATATTTCTACTGGCTGCCCATACACTACTGGACTAGGTTCGTAGTTTTCTATTAATTTACAAGGCTCTTAACAGCTTGGGTGCAGGATACCTCAGGGACCATCTGATCAGTTAAACACATTTTGAACCCCAAAATGTTCCGTGGACCCTAACATGCAAAGACTTGCAAAGGCTTTAAGAGAGCAGCTGGCAGTTGTCTCTGAGCCTCCTGAAGGTGGAGGCTGCTTCAAAGACTGCTTCTGAACAGTGCTCTTTGAAGCAGCCCCTCATCCCCATTTGTGCCTCTGGAGGCTCAAACAGAACTGAAAGAGCACCTCTTAAAGCCTTTGCACATGGGGGTTCACATTTTTTAAAACTGGGGTTAAAAGAGGGTCCTCATCCTCAAAAAGGCTGAGGACTGCTGTCTTAGGAGATTTATCTCAGCAGCTCTCAAAGCTATTTGCCAAACCTCTGCCGAATCAAAAGAGCAATTGTGAAGTTGCAGGAGTGCAGGGGGGGGGGGGTACGTGGCGGTGTGGTGAACTCTGAAGTAGACTCTGAACAAAGATTATCTGTGCCCTGTGCTGAGAGTTTGTTTTTGAGAAAAGAAACACCGTGTCTTTGAATAATGGTTTGTTTTGCTTCCTCTCCTGCTGGCTGGCTTAGAAGAACAAAGGCACATACATAACGGCGCATGGCCATTCTTTCAAGAGAGTCTCATGATAGTCTGTAAAGGCTGCTCATATGAACCCTCGTCGAAGCTGGACCCTGGAACTGCTTCATTTCACGAAGCTGATCTGCACTATAGAGCTCCGTGTCAAATTTTGTTTCTTTTCATGACTCAGCGGTAATCCCTGCAAACTTCCTATGCAACACAAGCTTCCTTCTCCCAGGATTGTAGGATTGGAGTCATTATCCTCCACAACCTCCTGCAAAAAATAGTGTTGAATTTGCACAGCTGCACCCCAACATCCCAATAAGGATTAATGTACACGTCACATGAATACAGCATTTGCCAGAGGCACACTGGTCCTTCTCATAACAAATTCATAGCAAGAGAATATAGACAGATACACTTCTTTAGAAGTTTGTAACCATTTTGGTTTTCAGGGAGCCACAGCTGAGTAAAATCTACACTTTGCTTGAGCTACACAGCTGTTTTAAGGATATGTATATTTGCACTTGTTGCAGGAAACAGTGGTGCATGTACAGCAAATATGATTGCTGCATAAAGGGTATGAATTGGCACTTGTCTCCCCCGCCCCAAGTCAGTGTCAGGGGAGGAAAACGACTAATAATGAAGGAAGAGGGGTACGACAATAATGTGGAAGTGACATTGAAAAAACTTTTGTCCGTTCTAACTGTGGGAAAGTTCATGTGCCAGTTCTATTTAAATACATACTGCCTGTGTTAAGTTGTTCAGGGTTTAACTCAGGGGTCGGCAACCTAAGGCCCATGGGGGGGGTCGTTTAACCGGCCCACAAGCCACCCCCGAACTGAGCTGCCTGCTCGGTGAGTCCCCGCGCACTGCCCTAAACCGGTGCAGCGCGGCGTGGGGACTCACTTCTGTGGTACTGGAAATCGTGTCTGCACAGATGCCAGAAATTGCGTCTGCGCAGACGCCGGAAATTGCGGGCATGTGTGCTCGCGATCTGGCCCACAGAGGGATCTCCAATGGAGTGAACCAGCCCAGGTGAGGTAAACCGTGCCAACCCCTGGTTTAACTTCTCCCGCATAATGAAAGAAAAAGAAGAAAATGTAGCATACAGGGGTGCCAGCTCTAGGGGGCTCCGAGTGCCTGAGCACCCAGAATTTTTTTGTTGTGGGTGCTCAGCACCCACACCACAGGGCCCTCATGCAACTTCCGAGCTTTCACAAGGCCTTTCTGAGGTCTTGCGAGGTCTCAGAACCTGATTTTTGGTGCCACCAGAAGTCAGGTTTCAAGACTGGGGGCCCTGCATAACGTCATGACGTCATGTACACTGGGCACCCTTAACCTGGGGCCCAAGTCAGCTCCCTTGGTAGCATATAAACCCAGCCACCATTGCCAGGGTGTTAATAGTGGCTAGAACATATTATGCCACACACTAGTCTTGCTGCACATGTAAGAGGCAGAAATGTTTCCCTAACTATACAACCAAGCTCTTTCTTTTCCATCCTAACCCAGTTTAGGATTTGCATCAGGAGCAAGCGATGTTCCAAAATTCCATAGCATCTGTCCAAACTGGGTTTAGAGAGAGAAGTACTTCCTGGAAAAATTCTCACCTGTGCATTCCACCCAATACATTTATTTCTTTAGCAAAATAATTCATATCCTGCCTTCCTACTTTCCAGCAGAGTAGTGCCCAAGACAGCTAACGGTCAAAGAATAAAATAATCATCAACAATTAAAGAGCTAAAAACAGAAATAGCATGGCAGATAATTAAACATCACAGTCAGCTTAAAACATCAAGGCAAATAAAACATTTCACAGACATTAGGCAAACCTTTATGGGATCAGAGATCTAATTATGTCTACTTATGAGGAGAATACAAGTACCAGAAATGGGAGATGACTAAAGAACCTACACACTGTCAATACCATCCAGCTTGCTTACAAGATCATCTGCAAATGATTCCAATGTTCCTTAAGGTTGATGATACAGCTCTTAATGATTGCTAGAAAGATGAAAGCACGCTGCTTCCACAATACAACACTCAACAGCACTGCATGAATTAAGAACAAGATTCCACGCATTCTCAGAAGATGTCAGCTAGTGAGCAATTTCCTGGTTTCTTTATATCAATGCCCACATACACAGAAATGGAACACAGTCTCTGAAGATTTTGGAAACAGATAACATTCCACAAAATCTGACCCCAGAATTTTATAGTTAACTATGGAGAAGAAAACTTGGTAAGGAGGATAGAGAAAGCTACAAATTATATGAAAATCAGAACAGGAAATATCTAGAAAATATACCTTTTTATTTTTGTACAAAACCAACTTACATTTTACTATACAGGGGCGGGGAACCAGATCTGACCAGTGGACTGGTTCAAGGCCTCGCCCACCCCTGCAGGCCACTTTGACAAGTGGAAGAGAACACCCACCTGTCAGCCAACAGACATTGATGTGACACTGTTAGAAGAGCCCCCCACCCGCTGTCAGCATCAGACAGCTGATTGATGCCAACAGTGAACTTCACATGGTCTGCTTACAGACAAAGTGTGGATTTAAACCACGACTGTGCATGAACTTTTTTCTTCTAAAATGTCCATTTGCAGGTGTGGTTTGAATCTAAACTGTGCCTGCAAACAGACAACATTAGAGGGACTTGCTGTCAGTTAGTGAGCTCTATGTAACAAATAACAATTGAGAACACATTCTGAGCCCCCATTTGTTCCTTTGCAGCTGCATTTTTGCAAGCCCCACACCTGATGTTTCATATACCATCAGCATGGTTTGGGGAAAAACCACCTCACAGGCCAAATTTATAGGTCTGTCAGCTGGAGGCTCCCCACTGCAGCTTTTAAAAAAAGATTCCTGGTTCCTAAATCATTTTGCTTCACTTATTTCAAAAGGAAGTCACTAAAACCAGTTTGTAAGACTATATTGTTCCATTGCGCAAACATGAAAGGAGGGACACGCAATATTTACACACTAATATGCATTCTCCACTATTATCTTATCCTCTGCTTCCTGGGATCCTGATCCAGCTCACTGAAATTAGAAGATGCTGCTGAGTTTATTATGCTTTAAGTGAGGTTTTCCAGTCAAACTGTTAAAAAAATTCTCTTTCTTAGTGAGCTGTTAGTAGTTTAACTAATAATACACTGCATTCATCTCAGCCACATGCAAATGTAATGTAATGTTGCACTCCCAGAGGTACATGCCTACCTGACTCCAAAGATGACTTGAAGAAGGGTACAGATCCCCGAGACGAAGAAGATGGTGCTGATCAGGTGACTCTGTGTCAGGGTATCATGCTCCAAGCAAAGAGATTTGGACAGGATGAGAGGGATAGCAACAAGACCTCCAAGAGCAGTGAGGTAGTGCTAAGAACCAAAGAGAGAGAGAGAAAAGAGTTAAGAGAAAGAGCTTTGTGTATAATAGCGGAGAAGACAGGTCCTTTTTTGTAGTGGTACCCAGAGTACAGAACTTCCTTCCTCTCAAGAAAGGTGAAGTTGGCTCCCACTCTTTGAAGCTTCTGCTCCCATTACTCTAATGTAGCTGGATGTCTATACTTTCCAGCTTTAAGAATGTGTGGGGTAGGTAAGGATGGGGCTTCAAAGGAACAATTGGATACTCAAAGTGAGCTCCCAATTGTTTGGGAGCAAGGCATTCCCAACACTCCATGCTACGCTTCAAAGTCCCAACAATCAAGGCTTCAAACCACAGCATCAGCTGACGTCAAAGTGACATCAGGTGACTGACAGGTCAACCCTCTGTCAAATTTGGGCAGCAGGAATAGAGAGATAAGGATCTGGCCTGTTGGCCAGAAAAGGTTCCTTTTCTCCAATGTAGGCAATACTGTATTGCTTCAGACTCCAGGTAGGGGCTCAGATTGACTGAATGCTCTTTCACACACAAGAATCCACCCAAAATTGATCTATTGGCGAACAGGTAAGTTAGACCCATTTTCCATATACGTATGTTAGTTTTCTACATACAGTGTTCTTTTCAAGTCTGGTTCTGAGAATTTAGGCTATAAACTGCTTTGTGGGAACAACAACATATTCTGGCTCTGCAGCAGCGGAGGAAGGATTTTTCAAATCTTTCCTCTCCCCCTCCCCTTACCATGCTCTGTCCCCAAAACCACTAATGAACTCAGAGGAGAGGAACACAGGTTCTTGCATTGTACCTGTCTTCCCCTTGCTCCTTGCCCCAAGCTAGTGACAACTTTTGAGGATTAAATTGGGGGGGGGGCAATCTTAAAAACACCTTCCCTCACCAAAATAGCTCCTGTACAAATAGCCTCCCTCCTCCAACAAACAAACAAAAGAATGGTTGATGTTCCTGTTGCTCGCCTCATATGCAATAACTTCTACCTTTAGCCCTGAGTTTCATTGACACAATACCTCTCTCACTAAATCAATGTCTGAGCATTACCTCAAGGCTGCCCGCTACAGACTTAAAAAACACTCCACTAATAGGATTATATATATTTATTACAAAATGATTTTTGAACCGATGAGAATGAGGAAGCTGCTTCGTGTATCAAACTGCCTGAGAAAGTTCTGTCAGTACACCTGGTCTAGTGTTGACCTCTTGTTTTAAAGAGCTGGCAAGTCTGCACCTCAGACAGCTGAGGGAATTACAGAAGCCTCACAAAGCTAAAGCTGTGTGAAAAAGGAAAGGCTGAACTAGGGTTGTCAGAACCACTGTGGGGTGTTGTGCAATAGAGCCCTGGGCAGACTTGGGTGACTGAAATCCACATTCAGTCATAAAGCTGGACCTGCAGTGCTGGCTCCATGTTTTATGGGGCCCTTGAGCAAGATACCTGTCGTGGGCATCCCTCTTCCCTTCAGTCATTCCCTTGGCCTGCCTCTGGGCCCAATTCCAACCACTACCCAACATTGATTCCTAGCACTCTCCCTCTGGGCCAGGGGATAAAGAAAAAGGCTGAATAGATCGCCTAGGCAAGTGGAGCAACAACAGGGCCAGGGGCTGTGCTGAGATAAGGTTTCTGGTAGGTTGGAGCTTTTTCTGAGGAAAATTGGAAAAAATGACACTGCCAACATCACCTGCTATACATCTGGATTTTCCCAGACATTTAGCCAATTTCTGCCCAGACACTGCTTGTGGTTGCAGTATTCCGGATATGTCCGGTCAATTCCGGGCATGTGGCAACCCTGTGATATGAGCCTTTGCAAACACAACATTACCAACCCTTGATACCGATTCTAGTGATCTGAGTGGCCACCAGTCTCTCTCTCTCTCTCTCTCTCTCTCTCTCTCTCTCTCTCTCTCTCTCAGACTCACTTGCCTCACAGGTTTGTTGAAAGAATAAATGGAATTACCCCCAAATAAGTAATCCTGAATTCTTTGGAGGGATATAATTCTCCCTAGAGAGACATAATCTCCCCCATATATACACCACCCGGAGTATTTTTACTATAATATAATCAGTACATGTTGTGGCTCCTTTGCCTATTTATCACATACTGGCTGACTTTAAATCTGTTATAATTTATTATTAACCTCAGCCATAGTTTTGTTCAACTGGTCACACAAGACCCTCCACCTAACTTTTCCTTCCAATCCTCACCTGAATTCCCAAGAAGATGCAGAGGTACCAAGGGGGGATATCTGTGACGGTGTAAGCGAGACGGCTGGAGTCTTTGCCTTTCTGCCTTTCTTCGCATTCTGGAAGTGTGGCACCAGCTTCAGGGAAGTTGCAGTAATGCCCTCCATCATCAGTCTGCAGGAACCAAGGGAGAACATTTCAGTTAGGGCTTGTACCGGAGGGCACCAGCATTTGCTTCTCTGAAATGTGTTTTACAAAGTTACTGGCACCTCTTTGGGGCCTCTGGGTGCCTGTCTTGCTACCTGTCTCAATATGGATGGGTTGGAATGGAATGGACTTGGACTTGGACTGGCAGGAGAAAATGCCAGAATACGCAGTTAGCAAAATTGACAGGGAGAATTAGAGATGATACAGAACAAAGATTTAATAGAGAACGGGACACTTACAGAGGATACCTAAAAGAGCATTGTAAACATCTAAATTCTTTGGCAGGTCTTGATTAACCCTTGCATGACAGTAGGAAACTTTACAAAACCAAGACTATTGAGACAATTTATGAGAGACAATGGAAAGTGTGCAACTCAGGAACCATGCTGGGGTGATTGGAAGTCATAATGGAATCTGTTCTGTATGAATCTATTTTTTCTTTTTGTAATATGTATTGATCTTGGATTGTTTGTGTTGATTGTTGTTTTTTGCAAAATTAATAAAGTATTTTAAAATGTGGATGGGTTGGGAAGGGGAAAAACAAAGTTATCTGTGAATCCATTTCAATAGTAAATCTTCAGAGCTGGCCCCTGTATTTTCTAATCTGTTCCTTCTTAAACAAGCTCACTCCAGTTTCATTCAGAAAAGTTACTGAAAACCACCTCTGGCTTTACTTAAAAAAAAGACAATAATACACTACAAATGTTTCATTTAATCTGCTCTTTCTGTGCAGCATGGTTTGTCACATGTATCACATGCATCATAAATAGGAAAGACATAATGAGGTTGAGCTGATTTCACTCTTGCTAAAGAGGACAACTTTTTATTTCTCATGTAACTATGTCAGTCAAGGGGGAGAGAGGGGGGAGGAGACTTGAAAGCAGCAATGACACACAACGTAAAGAGAATAAGAGGCAGGTAATAAAATCTGCAGCAGATTTGAAAGCTAGAACAAGCTTGGACATTGGCCTAGTCATCCCTCTCAAGTTTGTTATCATCAGGCTCCCTTTGGCGGAAGAGAGCACCAGCTTCGGTCCCAGCTCCTGCCCACCTAGCAGTTGAGTGCCCTAGCGCAAGTACGATAAATAGGTACCGCTTCCAGCGGAAGGTAACTGCGTCTTCCGTGTGCTGCGCTGGTGCTGGCTCGCCAGAGCAGCTGTCACGCTGGCTCAGCGTGACTTAGCGGCTGTCTCCAGACAGCGCTGGCCCCGGCCTCTTAAGTGAGATAGGCGCACAACCCAGAGTCGGACACAACTGAACTCGGCAGAGGTACGTTTCATCTTGCTGAAGCAAGCCTGCAGGAAATTTGTCTAGCTAGAACGACTTAAACATTGGCCTAGTTATCCCTCTCAAGTTTGTTATCATCAGGCTCCCTTTTTGAGGAAGAGAGAAGCTTAGCAATCTGTTCCACTTAGTTGTTATGAGGGGGAAAAGAAAGACCATTGAGCGTTCCATTTGCTGAAGGTGGTCCAGAAACGCACCATCTAATAGGAAACTCAGGTGCTGAGTGCAGGTAGCTATGTAACCAAAATTGGGTCACTGAGAAAATAAGGCGGTAGGAATTCCAAGATTTGCAGAAGTACAAGAAATGCTTCTGGGCAGAAGGGATGACTAAGGTGGCAAAAAGAGAGAGGACCCAACAGACATGTGGAGACTGGTCATTTTAACTGGCCAATTAAATGCTGAGTATCAGTCATTAGAGTGGGAAGGGAAAGAAGAAAAACAGGAGGAAATATTACGAAGCATCTGAGAAGGAGGCATTGCTGTCTGGAACCCCACACAGGAGCACTTAATTTTGTTGCAGTCCCTACTTGCTGATACTCATAGTAAAAATTAATAGTTGTTTTAAATAACCCTATGTACGGTCCATCCAAAGAGCCTTAGGGTGTAACAACAACAACAACATTGCTGCTACTATTCATTTATACAACACAAGCTGCGCATTTTCATTCAAACTTCTGCTATGAAGTTATTTGCATGTGGCTTGGACTCTTTCCAAATAGCACGAGGACTTGATTTACCAGACTTGCTGATGGCAAAGCAATTTAGCCCTGGAAGTCTAAACAGCAAAGTTATCCTCAAGCACAGAGAACAAAAGAAGAATACTGAATTTCCAGTGGTCCAGCTAGCATGTTGTCTAACTAGTAGTGCCTCTCTAGGGTCTCTGAAACAGATCTTTCTTAGCAGCTGTGATCCTTTAACTAGAGATGGATCCTGGACCTTTTTGCAAGCTCTGCCTACTGATCCCCTCTCTGAGGCTATATGAAAGCATAACACTTTTCACTGCTGTGCTGCTAGATATTATCTACATTGTTTACAAAGGTAGTCAGGCAGGTGTATTCCTCTTTTAGCCATGTATTTGTGCATGTACACACATTTGTGTTCTTTTTTTTCTCCTAGACGTGCAGTCTAATTCTATGAAAGTTTACTCAGTTGTAAGCTCCGGAGAATATAATGGAATTACCTCTAAGCATAGGCATAGTTGGGGGGGGCAGCTGCCCCCTCAGATCAAGTAAAACTATAGAAATACTTAACTAACTGACCAACCACATTGGTTCTGACGCCCCTAACGAAAGTCATACCCCTCTAACAAAGTACCCCCCCATGAAAATCCTGGCTACGCCCATGTTTCTAAGCAAGCGTTCACAAAATTGCAGCCTCAGAACCCACCAAAGGCATACAATGATGCAGGATAGGGGTGCATAAACTTTAGGAACGTTCACTATCCTAAAGTTTTTAAAATGCTAACAATATTTCTTTGTTCTGGCCTGTCTAGGGTAGGGGCAGAGTAGGGGCAGAAAAGCAAGAGATAATCTTTCTTTTCTTTTTTTTAAGCAGAGAAGGATATGATAGGGAGTGAACTGTCATGTAATAAAAAATAATCCATTCTTCCTCTCTCTTATTTGTCAAATTTAAAGGACAATACAAGTAGTGAACTGTTACAATTTACTCAGAAACAGAAGTGTATTCAACATAGTTCCACCACACATAAGGGAGAAAAAGAGTTTTACAAGAAATAAATACGTTTTGGCAATTGTAAACACAGCCTAACATTGGTAAGTCCATGCCCACCCCCACCCCAGATTCCACTTCCCATGAGACCTAGCCAGCATGCCCAATGGTCAAGGATGTTGGGTGCTGAAGCCCCAAGTTCCTATCCCCTGGCTTACTCTATCCATTTCTCTCTTTCCCCACTTTTTTATTTTTATTTTTATTTTCTTGTTGTTTGGTTTTATTCAAGCTCACTATGCAGGCATCTGATTTAAAATACAAATATAGAACTTACTATAAATATGGGGTTGTCTAGTCCATTTGGGTCCTTGTTTGAGGGAGTCATCTCCATTTCAAGGTTTCTTCAGCACCTTCTTCGAAAAAACAAGACAGAAGAGAAGATGAGATTTCCCATAAAACCTTCATGCTTCAAGCTCTGAACAAGCAGCAACAGAGAAGCTGAATGAGCCTGACTTGTAGGAGTCCAAATTCTTTTCCAGGCATTCATGTGAGAATTACTGCAAAGGAATTTCCCTTTTCACTGGCTTGCTGAAATAACTCTCCCTCCTCTCTTTCCACTCAATTACACAAGATGGATAAGTTTCTATATCTTTGAGATTGCCCTGCCTGACACCCAGGGCAGTGTGTCAATTTCATAGGCATCGCAGATTCATTAAAACTTACTGAGTGCCCTTCCTAAGTTAATACATATTTCGTGTTGAGTAACAGATTTGTTTTTTCAGACTGAGCACTATTTTAAAAAATATCCGCAGTTGTTTACTGTGAAACAGGGAAATGAAATTCAAAAACCATACAGATATACCTGTCCCATGAAGAATATAACTATTTGGCAACTTTACATATTATATATACGTGTGTGTGTGTTACACATCACCCCATGTGTGTGTTACAGATCACCCCAATCTCCAAGAGGTGAGAGACTCCACACTTACCCAGGGTTTGGTTTCTTTGGAATGAAGGTCAGTGAAGATATATGGTTTTATTTACACATACATCCAACCTTAGCATAGGATGAGGAAAGAGGGTCTCGCAGAATTAACACCCCAACAGATCTTGCTCCTTTATTAGTCCCACCCTTAGATCTAGCCTGGACCAAGGCGATTCTTCTCCTATGTAACGGCTAGGTGAGTGGGGTGGAGAAGAGCCCACCCATTTGAGTCTGTGGCACAGAGAAATTTATTTGCGTAGGCTAAATCATGGTACTTGACTAGCCAGCGAAAGCCATTACCTTGACAAAGGAACCAATTCCGGCAAGTCTGCTCTCATACGTTCTATCCCCACAGATACAGGATCCCAAGATACTACCCACAACAAGAAATATACATACATATATACACGCATGTGTGTACACACACACACACACACACACACATATGCATCCATATAGTTTTTAAGCGTTTAATGATAATGAGCCTACCTTGAAGGCTTGATAGTGGGAAGCCAATATACGTGTTTTAAATGTTAGATTACGGATCTTTTTGAAATGAAGTTGGATTCTGATGGCAAGGAAGTAAAAGGTGTAGCAAAAGAGGAGATTACGGATGGGTGTTTGGTCCGTTCCAGCAGGGCTCCCCTCTTATGTTGCTGGGTACTAGAAGGCTCTCCCACCACTACCACCACTCTTCCCCCCCACCATAACATCCAAGTACATCTGTTATTAGGAATGTGAGAAGTGTAGCCAATTAGGCAATTAAAACAACATAGAATTCCACAATGTGATTTTTGGTTAGAACAGTTTGCTTGAGAACATTCCCATCATGATTGGTCACCAATTATTCTTCCAGTAATGCAAACCGGAGAAAGGTGAGCTGTCTGACTTATTGCAATAGTTACTCAGAGAACCCTGGCATGCTATCTCAGGCTCTGGTTGAGCATGCAGAAGAGCTAACCAGCTTATCCTGACACTCGCTGTGTTTCATGCTGAAACTTAGCCTTCAGTGACAAATTTTAGTGGTAAGGTAACCATTTTCTTGGTGCATCAAAACAACAAGAAGCAAGGAACTGGAACAATGTGCCCTACTTCCTAAGACACCACATGCTGTTTTCAAGATGGACTGAAAATCTTACTCAGCTATCTCTTTCATACTTCGGAGATTTCAGTCGGGATTATCCAAACACTTTCAATTGTCTCTCTGCAGCTCTGAGGATTGGAAGCTAATCTTCTCCAAGAAAACAAAAGATTCTCAAAGATTCATAGGAAACAGAGCTCTGTACTCAGTAACACAACTTGCTTGATTTTCCTGTGGCCTTGTAGAACCATGGCACACACTCGGTACCGCAGATTCCTCGAGCATTAGGGTCAAAATATTAGGTCTGAATGAAGTTCCAATATTTAACTAACAATCCAATAGCCAAAGACTGCCAAATAAAATCATGCGGCTATGGTATGCTTGGCCAGCTATACTGCCACAGGGCTGGGGAGAGGAGAGGAGGGGGGCAATATGCAAGGTGGTGGGTGTGGGGTTGCCTTGCTCCTGTCATTATAAACAGGGGTGAGAAACCTCTGACCCATGGGCCAAATTTGGCCTGGCATGGGTTCGATTTAGCCCAGGTAATTTTTGAAAGCCACACCCACCTGCCCCATGCCTGAAAGCATATATGAGACACGACTATGTTGGCTATGCAACCAATTTCCCCATGGATAATTCGATCACAAAGTCAACGCTTGCAGAAAACAGCTTTGCTGCCATAGCTAATCTGCCAGTGCTTGATAAGCATCAAACATAGGGATGGCAAAGCCCCTTGTGCTACAATTCCCAAGCAGCCAGCAACCTACTGACAGTTGGGCACTTGGAAAGCACTATGCAAGGACTTTGACAGGTGGGGAGGACAACCACCTGTCAAAGTTGGTCCACGGAGGTGGGGACAAAAGGAAGGATCGGGCCTGCAGAGCCAGAAAAAAATTCCCCACCCCCGGTGATCAATCATGGTTTATTGTAACATCCAATAACAATGTGAAAGACATAGATGATGAGAACTGAATGAAGCAATGGGTATTGCCTAGGGGCAGAAACCCAACAAGAACTGCAAGAACTTTGTGCCAGCACTTTTAACCAACTAATCGATAGGAGAACCAGCCAGACGGGTTGCAAACTCCACCAATGGCTACCTCAGAACATATGCTCCAACCTTTGTTACTGATATTATTTTCTGCCCTGTTTGCGTAAATGAACAGTGTGACAGCTTCTGAAAACCACACAAGCTCATTATCCAGTCTACCAACAGTCTGGACATGCATTAAGATATCATTTCTAGCCTTTCCAGGTTTTTAAAAACTGCATTTTATTGATTTCCAAATATAACAAGCCTAAAAAGAACTACAACAGTGTAGATGCTGCTATCTTAATAAAGCAGCTTGCAAGTCTCCTTGGTGTTGACCATTGACAAAACTACTCAAATTAATATTCAAGTAACAAGAGTTCGCCTGGCAAGTTTGATCGAGAAGTTGTCCAGTTTGTGTGTATGCTAACAAGGTTCTATGTGGAGCAGGACCTTGCCTGCTACTAGATGGATGGAGAATATGGGTGTGAGAGACATGCCTTTGCTAACAATGGACTTTGTTGGGGCAACAGATTACACAAAACAAACTATAGAACTGATGATTACATAATTTCTATAGAAGTGGTTCAAGCCTGAAGAAACCACATGGATGCAGGTGGCAGAAATAATTGTAGAAACATTTTGCTGCTGCCTAGCATTGCAAACATTAACACACAACAATAACACACAACAAGTGTACAGCAGTTTTAGAACCAGTATCATTGTATGTCAGGGCAGCGGTAGTACCTCTGGTGGGGAACATGTTGTGCTCCTTTTGGGGTAGTTTGTAAACTTTTGGTCCCCACCTTACATTCAGCCCTTACCTGTGGCTCCTAGAAGCTGTCCGCATGCAACAGCGGCCATACCCTGGAAAATGGCTTCAGCTGGTTGGCTAAACCAGCTGAGTGTAGCCACTGGGTCTGAAACTCTCTGTGAGTTAGGGATTTCCCCTGCATGTGAAGACAGGCTCTGGTGGATATGAGACCAATAGTGGGTTCAATAGTCAAGAAGCTGGTTTCTTCACATGCTGTAGAGGGAAGTGTGGGGCAGATGGGGCTCATCAACCTGGGAAGGTAGCCCATCTAGGAGAAGGAAAACTCTGATCCTAAACCTCTGCCGCCTTGCGGGATATCTTCGGGAGAAGAAAAGGCTAAGGAGTAAACCCTACAAAAATCTGGGGTACAGTTCCCTAAGACAGTTGGATGGTGCCTTGTATGCCTCCTTATTCCTGCAGCCAAGCTGGTGCCAAACATATCGCTCTGCTTTCTTTGGCCTGAGGGGGTGTTGTAAACTGGGCAGCCCAGGACCCCCAGGCTTGTGCCCCGAGGAGGTCACTTCAGTGCTGCTAACACAGCAGTTTACTTCACCCCAGAGGCGCACTCTATTGTTGAGAGAGAGAGAGAGATGCCAACAACAACATGGTCACAAATGAATTTCAGTTAGATATGAGGCTTCAGGCCTCTGACAGCTTCCCTGTTTTCCTGGCTTATATGTGTGTCTCTAAACACTCAGTCAATCTAGTTTCCCAATAGGTCACGAAAAAAAAGTTGAAGTTAAAGTTTAACGATGTTTACAGACAATGTTGTAGCATAATGATCACAATTACGACAAAAAGCAGATCATTACTAATGATAAAAAAGATAACATTTCTCGTGCAAACAGTGAACAGGACAAATCATTATGATTATTCCAGTAAGGTGAATAAACTTAATGACCAAGACAAGATGATAATGACAACCTGGATAACAATCAGATAAGAACATGAAGAAGAACCAGAAGTTCATTTTATAATTTAAAAGATTCTCCTCTGTAGTTTGCCAGGCCAAGACGGGTGTTAATTGCAGATTCTATTCCAGACAGATGAATCAGAAAGTCAGAGTGGTTACTGGACCAGTGTTTTCACCCTTATATATATCTTTTAAATATTTTATTTGAATTTTCAATTTTAAAAATAACAAAACCAAGCAATAACTCTGGTATAGAGTTTTTTTTCATTTCCATTTGTCTATATAACATACAGAGAGCAAGTTCAGATACTCAGTGCCACCTGGATCATGCTATTAACTAATTTCTAGACCTCTCAAGATAGCTTATTATTCATTTTGGATAGATGCACTCCCCACCTCTATTTACCAATGCAAGAAATGAAAACCAAATTCATATGACATTATGCGATCTTATTATCTCTCTAACCCATCTGCTATGGCTAATGAGCTTCTTTGAGAGGGCATCTATCAATTCTCCCACATCACCCTTTCCTTTCCAGCTATTTCCATCCTCACTGCTACCAAA